GTGTGTGTATGTTTTAATTTCCAAATTACCAAATCTGACAGACATAGTTCACTTTCTAGTATAATCTTTGAGGTAGTAAGAGAAAACTGTATACAGCATAGAAGACAATATAGCGATTACACTGAAGTACAGTGATCAGTAGAGATGTTTGAAAAGAGAAAAAGAAATACATAGTGTGTTCTATTTTGGAAGTTTTCATTTTGCAGTACTAAGAAGTGAACATAGGTGCACTCTCCCACTGAGCTACAGCCTCAGCCCTTATTTTATTTTACTTTACTTCACCTTATTTTGCTGGGTTTCCCAGACTGGCCTCAAACTTACAATCCTCCTCCCTCGGCTTTCCAAGTAGCTAGGATTATGGATACTCACCACCCAACCTGGCTGCTTTGAAAGTTTTTTTTAAAAGAAATATAATCAACCATATAAGCTGTGTGACTGAATTAATTACCAAAAATTGGTGAGTTATCAAGGCAGCTCATAAAGTTGTTAATCCGAGGCAGGCTGTAGTAAATTGGGATGTGAATTCTGCCTTTTCCATCTCCTGGAGTTGTAACCTTGGCAAATTACTGAGCACATCTAAATCTCAGTTTCATTGTCTGTTGTACATGGGCTCAGGTTAAGCTTCAAATGGGAAACGTAACAAATGTGTGTACTTAATGCTTCATGTATTGTCAGCTTTCTATAAACTATAGTTGTGTTAGTCCTCAGTGTTAAAAATCTGGGACATGCTGTGCAGTGCAGGTGAAAGGATAATGTAAAATGTAATCAAACTAAACTGTCAAAATTCAGAAGTCAGTCTGGAACCAGGCGTGGTGGTACACACCTGTAGTCCAGCACTCTGGGAGGCTGAGGCAGGACGACTGCAAGTTCAAGACCGGCCTGGGCAATTTAGCAACTAGAGAAGCCTTGTTTTAAAATCAGAATGTTTTTAAAAATGGGGAGTGGGCAAGGCTGGGAACGTAGCTCAGTACAGAGGCCCTGAGTTCAATCCCCAATACTGCCAAAAAAGGCTAAGAATTTTACAAAAGTATACAATAACATTCTATCGTGTGACCGTGAGGAGTTTTGTGATAACATCCAAACATTTCCACAAATCAAACATGGCATCTTGTTCTGTGCTTTCTGCAAAAAGATCTCTTGCAGTAACTTTTGTGACATCCCAGTTTATTTAAGTGTTACTGACTGGCTATAATCACATCTGTCATCCAGTACTTTTTTCATATCCTGGTTCCTGGCACTGAGCTTTTCTCTTGTGGATCTTCCACTTTCAACTGGTGAGTTTTTCCATTTGCTAAACTCCAACAGAACTGTGCTTCAGTGCCTAATTCTTTAAATGCTCAGCTTTAAGCACTTCATACATTTTCAAATGGAATAAAGTAAAGATCTTGGGGAGAGACTCCTGCTCACCCACCTTAATGAGTCCTTTGTTTTACTTGAAGAGAAGGAATTGTTTTTACCGCAACATAGGATGGTTATTTACCTTAACATAAGCCAACCAACTAAAAGCACATTCCCTAAGGTAGACTGGCTTACAGGCTGTCACTGGTCACCCACATGTGTCAGAGCTGCCTGCATGTGTGTGGACACAGTGTTCCTGGGTGCATATCATTAATAGCTTTATTGAGATATATTTTACATATCATAAAATTTCCCATTTCTAGCGTACAATTTAGTAACTCTTAGAATTTTATGAAGTGTTGTACCATCACCATAATCCAACTTCAGAGCATTTTCATCCTTCTTGTGAGGTTACTCAGATACATTCATACCTAATCCTCATTCCTACCCACAACCTCAGCTCTAGGTAGTTGAAGATACTCTGAATTTGGAATGCATTTAATATACCTCACCTACGGAATGTCATCGCCTATCTGCATGACACTCCATAGGGTATTAGTCATGCCTGCATCACTGACTGGAGGATCTGTGGCTCTCTTCTGCTGTCTAGCATTAGGAGACAGTATCATACCGCATAGCACTAGTCTTGGAAAAGATCAAAATTCAAAAATCAGAAATATGGTTGGTTTCTGCTGAATATATATTGCTTTTGCACTACCATAAAGTAGTGCAGAAAAGAAAGAAAAATCATAGGTTGAACCATCCTGAACCATCAGGGACCGTTTGTAAGTGGAATCGTACAGTACGTGGGATTGCCTCTGCCTTCTCACACTTCATATCCCATTTTGAAGTTCATCCATGAAGTAGCGTGTGCTGATGGTTCATTCCTTCTTATTGCTGAACAGTATTCAGTTGTGTAAATATACATTTTATTTATTCATCTGTTCAACATTTAGGCAGTTTTCATTTTTTGGCTATTACAAGTAATGCTATGAATGTTTACGTGCACGTTCTTGCCCATTTGCTTTCATTTCTCCTGAGTATATATCTACAGTGGAATTGCTGGGTCATATGATAACTCTGTTTTAATTGTGTTTAAATTTTTTAAAAACTGCTAAACTACTTTCAAAGGTAGCTGCAAATTTTACATTCCAACCAGCGAGACATGTATGTGTGTTGTAGATTCACGAGAAAGGCTTTCAGGAAGCAAAAGAAACAAGATTATAAAACATGGCCTTAAGAACAGGTCAGTGTTGTGTACTTTATTGCATAATAAATGTCTGTTGAATTTTACATTTATACTTAAGGTTTTCAAAACTCCCCAAATCACAATGTCAAAGGTAACTCAAACTGTGATATTTAGGTACTTTTTTCTACAGCTGCTTAACATTGTACATGTAATATTTATTACTGAAGTTTTAAGTGACAGAACTAAACTATAAATTCACTATCTGTGTTAACATTTTTAAAGCCATACATGTATAAGATTTGAAAATTAAAATAGTATAGACCCATACAAAGTGAAAAGTAAAGGCCTTTCTCATGTTTCCCATCTTAATGTTTTCTTATCTCAAAGGTAACTATTTCCCAAGGTTTCATTGTCCTTTGTATGCTGTTATCATTGAAGGCCAAAGTTGAGTGTTATGTTGATTTACTTTTCCCTACAGTGTCCACTCTTCAGTTATATATTCAGTCCTGCACTGCCTAGTGATGGGAATACATCCTGAGAAATGGGTCGTTGATTTTGTCATGCTATGGACAAAGAATGCACTTACATAAACCTTGGTGGAATAGATTACTACATACTTAGGCGTGTGTGTGTGTGTGTGTGTGTGTGTAGATACACATACACATATATAATGACATGGGGCTGGGGATATAGCTCAGCAGCACAAGTGCCTGTCTGGCAAGCGCAAGGTCCCAAGTTTGATTCCAGGTACCAAAAAAAAAAAAAAAAAATGAAGAGTATATAATAACATAGCCTATTGCTTCTGGGTCTTCATGAACAAAGCAGTAAGAGAATCAAGCACAAGGGACGGTGATGCAGTCAGGAGACATGGCACATACAATGCATGAGGCTGCTGCTGGTGTCATGGTTTTTTTTTTAATTTTAAAAATGAAAGGGGGAGAACATTAACAGACAGACAACCTTTTACAAACTAGCAAAAGAACAGTACAGAAAATTGTCATGGTTTTATGGTAAACTGTCTTATAAGCAGGTGTGCATTCAAAAATAACCAACAGTGTAGTATAGTAAATATGTACACTTGCTGTTTGTTACCAAGTATGTGCTGTGTTTTTATACAAGTTTTACTGTACTTGCAGTACAATAAGCTTGTGTACATCAGCACCATGTGAGTAATGCACCATGCTGTCACATTACAATGGTTGTAATGTCACCATGCAGCTCCATTTAGTTTCATGGGACCACTGTCATATAAGCAGTCTATCACTGACTGAAACACAGTTATACAGCACATGACCGTTTCATAGTTTGGGTTTGATGCAGTGACGCACCTCAGGAGAGCATCCTGATGAAGAGGTTTGATCCCACAATCCTTGACTGCTCACCATAGGTGAGCTCAATAAGTGCCAGGCATAGTCCTCATACTCCAATTTTCCCAACTCTCTAATGACTGGACCAACTTAGACTCCTAGTTTAAGTAACGAGATTGATTCTTAATGGATTGATGTTTCCAATTCATTTCTAGTCTCTTCTGTCCCTTTTTCTATTCTTCATGCACCCTCTAATCAGACGAGATGGTAAACCCCAGGCCCTCTGAGCAATTAAATAGGGCCCATGATAGTAATGAAACCTGTTCGAAAGAGAGGGAAAAGGTAGAGAAATGGGAATGTTAAGACAGAGAAATGAGAAGGGAGACAAGGAGAGAAAAAGTTGGGAAAAGAGTTGTAAAAAATACTGAGTTATATTTAAAAATAATAGAAAACAATGCTAATTTCCCGGAAACCTGCAGGATCTCCCTCTTCCATCCTGGAAGACTCCTCTTGTCTCTCTAGATTGTTCTTTTTCTTGTCAGTGAAGTCAGACAATAAGAGGGGTGGTGAGGTGCCTGTTCCTCCCTACTGGATTCATTGATCCGTTATTGATCTATGTGTAGATATTGATGGTTTCTTAAAGTACTTACGTATCAGGTATGTGATTGCATCCACACTTGTTATCCTCTAGATTTTTCAAGTTGTGTCTTGCATCTTGTGCAGTGATTTAAAAACTGGGAAGAACCTTAGAAACATGCCAATTTTTATGTCATTTACTGTTAGGACTGTTATATGCAAAAGTTATTTCATGGCCCTACAGACTATTTTGAACTTTCTAGTACATAGAACTGTAACAGTGGTATTGTGAGTTGAGTTGCTATGTGCCAGTAGCAATGAAAATCCTCTCATAACACCTTTATTTTCACTGTAGTGTTTCTATAATTCATTGGAAAATAGCACCTCACTTGATCCACTTAATCTTTAAATATTATGCTGGATGCTTTACAAAGTTATAATGTGGTCCTACAAGGGGCTATATGAACTGTCACAAACATGTTTCTTTTTTTTTTTTTTGGTACCAGGAATCTAACTCAGGACCTTGCACTTGCCAGGCAGGCGCTTATGCCCCTGAGCTGTATCCCCGGCCTGTTTCTTCTTTTTTAAGAATGTGTTGTTTTTCCTCCTGCCCTCCCTTCCTGCTTAATAAGAGTTCCATACTGTATAAAGTTGAACTAGTTTTAAGATGAAGTGGGTAGATTTCTCACACTCATAGGAATCTTTTCTAAAAATATACAAAGAAATCACACCTTTTCTCAAGTTCTAAAATCACACGCAATCAGACCGCTAATCACAGTCTATGAGATATGAGAATAATAAATGGCAAGTGAAGTAAACAAAAGGCTGTATTTGACAGCAGGTAATGACCAAAGAGGTTTGATCTTATATTTATTCAACATTTATTCAGAAGTTTTATGCACTGGGAACCAGGCAGATTATGGAGATCACAGAATGGCTTTTGCCTGTGAGGAAAGCGGGAGTAGAAGAAAGGAATATTTTCTTCTGCAATTTGATCTTCTTTCAAACAAGATATAGGTAGCTTTAGAAAATATATCAAAGCTTAAATGAAGGGAGATGATATTACCGCTATGCATTAGACACTGTGCCCCATGGTTTTACATATATACATACATTGAAGTAGCTACTGTTTCCATCCCATTTTATGTACAACAGAGACACAGTGATTTGGCTGGGGTTAAAGTGTTGATGCCAGGGCTGGGGATGTAGCTCAGTGGTAAGGTGCCTGCCTGGCCAGAGCAAGGTCCTGAGTTCAATTCCCAGTACCAAAAAAAAAAACCAGTGTTGATGCCAAAATTCAAAGGTAGGCAGTCCAGTGTGAACCAGCCTCCTAAAATCATTAACCATAGAAATTTACTAGTTGAGGAAAGGCAAGGATGCAGAAGACAAAGTACTTCCTATTAAATGTCTGTGCCTCCCTGAGCAGATCTCTTACTATTTACAGATCTGTTTTCTTGGCTATAAAACTAAGGCTCATGTCTGTTCTGTCACTCCAGCATGGGAGAGATTTCTAATGCTCCTTTTTGGTAATGGGCAAGAAGTCAAAAGACGGAGGAAGTGGAGGGAGATGGCGGTGGGGAGGGGATGTAAAAAGAATTAAGATGTGTTATTACATGTACCAGCTCCCATAATGAATGTAATAATCATTACGTCCTGCAGACATACACTAATAAATTTTTAAAACGTTATCTCCAGGAAAAAAAAAGATTCTGAATGTTACCATAGAAGACAAGTTTAGCTGTCAATTGAACATTGGTATTGTTCTCTGTATTTTCAAATACATATGCCTTTTTGGGTACTTGTGTATTTATTTGTGCTCAAACCTTATGGTAGAGAAGTGAGTTTTTTTTTATTTGCAGCTTTACATTTTGATTTGCACAGTAATCATTCATAAATTCCCACTTCTATAAACCATAGTGGGACTCTACACAGGTACAGCGTGTTTCCATAAAGTGGTATGACTGTTTACAAACCATGGGACTCTTCTCTGTTTAAAGCAGTCACCAGAGGAACCCAGGAACTTTCCCAGCAGTGCTGCAGTTTCACAAAGTCTTTTTGATATTCTTGCAGAGTTACTTTCAAAGCCCGGAGCGGGCAGCTTGTTGAATAGTTATAAGGCTGGCAAATTCTCTTCTTTTGAGTGAATTCAGGTTCAAGCCTGAAGTTGCTTGAAGCCAAATTTGGTGAACAAAGGCCAAGAATAGTTTAAATACCTGTAAGGTACTTTGTGAATAAGACCATTTTGATGAAAAAACAAGATGTGACTATAAGATAATAAGATAGCTTCTGGCAATACTTTCAAGCCGGTGGAAATCTAGATTATTACTTTGTAACCCCATTATGAAACAGTAAACTTTTATAGTTATTATTCTATTCTAAAATCATTTTTCAGTGTTTATAATGTATCCACGTAGGTATTGGCATAACATAAGCACTTAAGGATACTTTGAGGATGCAACTGTAATATATAAATCTTTTTCTTAAAAAGTGTACCTAATATGAAAAACATAATTTTTGAAAAAAAAGTTCTATAAGTTTATGCAGTATGACAATTTTATACAGCTGGGGCAGGGATATAGCTCAACGGTACAAGCACCTGCCTGGCAAGCACAAGGTCCTGAGTTCGATTCCTGGTACCAAAAAAAAAAAAAGTTTTATACAGTTGTTGCAGTTTACTTGTACAATCTTAGACTTCATTATAAATAATGGGAACTATATTTTTCACTTGCCTTCTTCATGTAATCGTTTTACACCACATGGACCTTTTTCTGCTGTAAGTACTGCTCCTGAATTTCCTGCATGATATTTATACCATTAAGCTTTCCATTTTTGTCTAAATTTCACTTGAGTTAACATCTGTTAGCTGATGAATCTGCCTGGTAAGTCCTTGAGCATATTTAAGGACAAGACTTCTGATAAGAATGGATTCAGTAAGACAGTCCTCACAAAATTATTTTGTCTGTGATCTGATTTTTAATACTGTGTTATTCAGAAACTTACCCTCTTCTGGGTTAATTCAACAAGCAGTCACCCGGCACTTACTCTGTGATGGGAATACAAGGCTAGGTGAAGTGTGTGATGCCCTTTAGGAGCCCCCAGTCTGAGATGGGGGAACCAGACACACCATAGCTAGTACCATATGGTAAGAATCCCAAGGTTGTTACCAAATGCCATGGCAACAGAGACGTAAGCCATTTTTGCTCTGACTGAGCTAAGAGGTAATATTTCAGGTAAGGTTGCTGGGTAAGGAAGAACTTGGCTTCCACTGGAGGGAGAAAAGTTATTCCAGACAGAGGGGAAAAGAATGAAAATGTATTTCAGGACCAAAAACACAGTTTTCGAGGGGTGTCCCTGCCTAGCCTGCGTGGGCTGGGGGACGGGCAGGGGCAGTGGGCAGGGAAGGACTCAGAGCGCCCTTCAGCATCCCCTTCCTTGTTTCGCTCCCTGCTCCCCTTCCAGCCTTGGCTCCAGCTCTGGTGCTTTAGGGAAATCATTCTCCGCTGTGGTCTTCAGCTTCCTCCTCTGTAAAAAGAGAGGACTGAGTGACCTGATTTGCTAGATTCCTTCCAACCTGAAGAATGTGAGTCTGAAGAAACTGCCCTACTTCTCAGTGCAGTTCTGTGGCCTTTGTGTAAAGGGTTCTATTAGACCGAACAAACTGAGAAAAGCTTTTTTAATAGGGATAGAATCCTTGCTTTGTCATATGATTTGGCCTTTTTTATTTTTTGCTTCCGTTTATTCGCCTAGGTAAACTTACACTTGTTTGAGGCAGGATTGCTGCTGGAACAGACCTACACTACTTTCATACACATTTATGGATCTGTATCAGCATTCACATTACGGTCAGACAACTGCTCTGCCACAGTGCTTTCTGGACTGGTCACAGGAGAAATGACCGACCAAGTAATTGAATTTGCACCTGCCACGCAAATGGAGACCCAGCTTATTATCAGTAAAGCTGCACGCTCTTCTGGTATACTTCAGACCTGAAAATGATCATTTGTAACACTTGAATACAGCATACAATTTAAGATTAAAAAGCCCTTTTCCTCAGAAATGAAATATGGGAAATGCTAAGACATATAGCTGCTCACTCCAGCTTAATTATGTTAGCTTTGTAATTGTACTTTGTATTCTTGAAAGCATCAATAATTAACTTTCATGCACATGTTTAAGGACTGAGTATTGTTAGGCATTATGCTGTGTTATAGGATATATTGCATTAAAATGTACTAGATACAGACTGCCCTTCAGAACATTAAGGCAGATTTCACTGTAATTTTTTAAACTACGTTTATTTTTTGATACCTAAAGACATAGAAGTTATGCATATTTACAGGATACTATGTGGTATTTCTATACATGTTTAAATCAGATTAAACCTGTCTTTTCATTTATTATTTCTTTAGGGAGGAAACATTCCAAATCCTTTCTTCCAGCTTTCTGAAACACACAGTACAGTATTACACCTGTGTTTGGCTTACTGTGCACCAGCACACCAGAGGTCATTGTGGTTCCTCTCCAGCTGTAATTCAGTACCCATTGATCAGCCTGCTCTCATCCTTCTTTCTCCCCCACCCTGCCCAGCCTTTGGTAACCAACATTCCGCAGTCAGTTTCTGTGAGGTCTGCTGAATCTGAGATCATCTGAATGAGGCCCTGTGGTATTTGCCTTCCCGTGCCTGAAATATTTTACTTAACATAATGATCTCTAGTTCCATCCACGTTATCACAGTGACAGGATTTCATTTGTGACTGAGCACTATTCCATGGTATATAGCGCCCACATTTTGTTTATCCATTCATCCACTGATGGACACTTAGATGTCTCCATTTCTTGGCTGTTGTGAATGGGGCTCCAGTAAATGTCAGAGTCCAGACATCTCTTTGACATACTGATGTGAATATTTACCCAGTAGTAGAATTGCTGGATCACAATTTAGTGTTATTTTTTATTTTCTTGGGGACCTATCATTTTCCATGTTTGTTATTCTAATTTATATTCTCACTAAAGTGTGCAGGGATTCCCTTTTTTCCACATCCTCACCAACGTTTGTTGTCTTTAGTCTTAAAGTATGGCCGCTCATACTAGGGAGAGGCGATATCTTATTGTGGTTTTAGCTTGCATTTCTCTGATGATTAGTGATGTTGAACATTTCTTCATATACTCTTGCCAATTTGCCATTTATATATATATATCTTGGGGGAAAATGTCTATTTAAATCTATTGCCTTTTTTCTTTTAACTTGCCAGACTGAGGATCTAACCACGGGACCTGCACACACTAGTCATGTACCCTACCACCCTGTTATATCACCGAGCTCAGTGTATAAAGTTGAGTTGAAACACATGAAGCAGGAGCCGCAGGATTATAGAAGAAGGCATGACGCTGTGCTAAGGAACATGGATTCATTTATAAAGATAGGGAGCTCTTGAAAGGTTACCTAGGTATGTGATCCAGCCAGGTTCAAGGTTTTCTTTTCGTTTTTTAGAGAAAATTGCAGTGTCAGCTTTGAAGATAGATTTGCTGGAATACAAAGCAGGAATCAGGGATTAGCTGTGAAACAATCCAGCTGAGATTATTTGGGAAGGGGATGTAGCTAATAGGTTTGAGAAATAACAGATTTGAAGAGATAAAATTGGAAAAACCAGTGGCAGATTAGATCGATAGAGGGAAGAATATAGGATGATCCTTATTTTCTCCCCCCAGGATGGCATGTGAATTGTGATCCCATTACACTAACCCATGAAGCATAGCAGGGAAGGAAGATTTGGGATTTTAAAGAGAGTTCTCTTATAAAAGTTAAGAATAGGGTGGAGGGAAGATAGATGTGGGAATTGTTATCTTGACATAATGCTGACTTTCCTGTACAAAATTGCAATTTCCTTTATCCACAGTTTCAGAAATATTAAATGGAAAATTCCGTAAATAATATGATGAATTTTCACACCCTCACACTATGCACTCTGTCCCAGAATGTGAACCATCTCTTTGTCCAGCGTATCTGGACTGTGTACACTACCTTCCCATTAGTCTCTTACGAGCCTGGCTCTCAGCTACTGACTGTCCCTGTATCATAGTAATAGTGTTCCAGTAACCTTTACTTTACTTGATAACAGCCCCAAGAATAGTGCTACTGGCAATTTTATTACAGTATATTGTTATGATCACTTTGACTATTAGTTATTACTGTTAATCTCTTATTGTGCCTAATTTATAAATTTAGCATAGCAATAATGAACAGAAAAAACAGTATATGTAGAGTTCAATACTATCTGTAATTTTGGCATCTGTTGGTAGTCTCAGAACATCATGGATAGAGGGAGATTACTGTACCTTTGCTGATCCTTTCTATAAAACTGGCTTTCTCTAACCTTTATTGGAAACTCCATCAGTAACTTATATTCGTGGTGTTACATTCATCACATAATGAGTTGTAAGAGATAGTGACACCTTCCAACAACCTACCACTACTGCCTCCACCACTGGTCCTGCTGCCCTGCCTTTTCCAAAGAATGTTCCAAAGAAACGGGTGGAACACATGGAGTAAGAGGTCCAGATGGGGCCATGCGTGGATGGTGATAAGGGGATTCAGGGACACTACAGACAGGGGTCCTTTCCGTTATCTCACACTACTGACCGAACCAGACTGTGCGGATGTGTACCTTAAGTACAGGCTCCCCCTCTGGCTTAGAAGACATTTCCTGGAGGACCTCTCAGAGGTAACATGCCTGCTTGGTATCTGAAGCCATTCACAGACAGTTTGGGACTGTGGCATCAAAGCTGTTTTTCATGAACAGAATTCTGTAGGTTTTTGTTTTAAGAATTGGCAAGAGCCTCTTGCAAGGATAAAAGAACAGGTGTCACATGCGGCCTATACTTATGACTGAAAAATTCTGAGAGTGGAATAGTTTTGAGACAGCTGATCTCTGAACCTAGAACTTCATACTTCGTTTCAGGCCCCCGTAGGACTCATTTTTCAGACAGGCATAGGCATGCATTCAGGATGTCTGACCTAAGGCTGCAATTCCCAGATGAACAGTTCTGTGAGAAAGGCCAGTCTCTGGTACCAGCGCAGCCCAAGTCCCTGTTCACAGCAGGCGTTGCAGGAGTGTTGCAGCACTTCTGTCTATTGCTGCTTGAATTTCTCCCACCACTGTTGCTTAGGTGTGGGGCGAGGGTTATAGACGGTGGGAAGCTGCAGATGGAGCACAGAGAAGATACAGCAGTGGCTCCATTTTCCAGCCTCAAGTCATGGTCCCTCACCCACTCCAGAACATTCTGTTCACAGTGATACCTCACTTATGTTAATCCACCTAATTGGGACTCTCTCTTCCTTCTCCTAAAAAGCTTAATCTGGCCCAGATGTTGAGATTAGGGATTGCCATGTCTGTTTCGTCCTCTCTGGAATACAAGAGCAAGTGAGCCCTCAAGAGAAAAAGGGCTCTGGTCTCTGAAAATATCAGTGGGGTGCGTCCTGTTGTTCCTCTGGCGACGGCCGTGTGGACTCGTGCGGCGAACATGAATCCCCTCCCAGATACCCAGAGACCCAGCCCTGTGCCTGAGGACGCTCTGGAAGTGCTGTCCTCTACTCCAGGCCTGGGTGGCACCTCGCAGAGCTCATACCATCGCTAAAGAACAGCTAGGTTTCTTTCATTTTGTTCTTGTGCCCAGGCCCCTGCCCTGCACACCCTATAATTCATTTTTAAAATTAACATTCATTTTAAAAATGAATGATAACTTCTAATCTTTGTTAGGTTTGATAGTGGGGTTTTTAAAAGAAACTTTATCTTCTGGAGCCACCTAGCACAGCAGTGACAGATAAAAGGATAGTGCTGCAGGGAGTTTGCTTTGAATAGGAAGAGGGAATAGTGAGTGGGGATGGAAATGAAAGATTTGTTTCGGGGTGTATAATATTCTATCTAACTTAAGTGACTATCCTTAATTATCTCGTTACACTGTAAACTATAAAGTCGTAATCTCAAAAAACAGACCAGCCTGAGATTCACAACAAGATCGTGTCTGACAAACAGACATTGCCATCAATCTTCTTACCAATGATGCTCAGCTCCATTGATCAGAAAGAAAACTGCACCATCCCCAAAACTCTTCCCCCTGCCAAATTTGGAAATAGAGGGAAGAAACTCTGTTGCCTAAATTCCAGAAAGCTGTGTATGACGGAGGGTGGTGAGCAGCATTGCAGGTCTGTGACACAGGCTGTGGGAGGAAGGGCCAGGGTGGAGGCACCAAAGCCCAGGCTCTCATTAAGACGGAAATATGATAAACACCCCCACAGAGAGGCCGCTCCCAGAAACTGCATGGCCACTCTGAGGAAGCCACAGACCTTGGAGGAGAGCGTCTCTCCTAGAACGTCTCCATCTCCCATAAGGAGGGAGATGAAGAGAAACAATCCTGTTTCCTTCCAGTTTCTTGCACTCTATAGTATTACACATTGCCCTTTAAACCCTAACAAAGTGAAGCAGCAGGACACTGTGGCCGTCCCGGCAGGAGTGCTGAGCGCACTTGGCCTCAGTGCCTGGGGAGACTCTCTTACCTTTCACCCAGCTCCGTGGGAAGAAATTTGCAGAAGAGCTTTGTCAGCAGAATGTTCCTTCCCCACTACCCTCCCGGGATCAATTCGTGTGATCTCTATGTGGAGGCATTGGAATGGCAGGCTGTTTCCTCACCTAACCGCCCTCTCTTGTTTAGTCTAAGTTATCAGAACTGGAGCCAAACCCCAACAGAAAACTTCCCTGGCCTTTCCCATATTGCCCAAACACAGGAGTTCCCAGCGAAATCTGTCCATCCCTGTTGCTGTTTGTTCCTGTGCGATGCAGCCAGAGAGAGCTCTGGACTAAAGCCTGGTCCTTACGGCCAGTGTGAGGAATGTGACATAGAGTAAATGAGTTGAGCACCTTGGTAGGATGAGACATGTGGTATGGCAAGGACCTGCCCTTCTGGGGCTTATGGTCTAAGCAGGGGAAAGACAAGTGCTAAAGGGTTAGTCACCATCACCGTCCTACCTTACCAAGGTCCTAGGAGGAACACAGAAAAAGGAGAAGTCAGTGCTTAGCCCAGGACCCAAAGGAGGATGGGGCAGGCTTCATGTAGGAGGTGAGCCCAGGCAGTGTTAAATCTTGGAAGATGTACAGTGCTCACAGGAGACCACCGGAGAGGACCTGACAGCCCAAGCACAGGGTGCTTTGCCAAAGCATGAGAAGAAGTGAAGAGCCAGAAGTAGGGTGCTGTATCCCTCTTCGGTTCTGTTTGTAGGCAGTGGAGAACCATAGCATTCCAAAGCGGGCAGAGGAATGATGTGACCATGTTTGACCTTTTCAGGGATCACAGGGCAGAATGACCTTGCATGTGATGAAGTGCAGGCTCGTGGAACTCAAGGGAAGGGTTAGTGGTGCAGGCAGGAGACACAGAGGACCCTTACTAACCAGACAGTCCAGAGAGAGAAAGGAACGGTGTCACCTAGAAATTATTAAGAAGTTAAAATCCACAGGATTGGTGTCTGATTGGGCTTGGTGAAAGAATGAGCGTAACAGAGACTGCAGTTGTGCGCGTGCCACTCCCCTTGCTGGCTGACCTGCGGAATGCAGGCAGCACCTGTCTTACATGCGGACCTCACGGTTGGCAGGAGGCTAGTGTGGCAACGTGGCGTCTCTTTGAGAACAGGAAAGCACGGTGCAAGTCCAAAGTCGTCATCCTGGAAAACTGAGGAGGAGGGAGTGGCGAGGAAAAAGGAAGGGATAGAGATGTGTTTTTCAAATAATAGAGAAAATGTGTGTATGTGGTGGGAAAAACTAAGGACAGGAAATGAAGGCATTAGATGTAAGGCTCATTAAAATTTGTCTATGCACAGTGCTATTTCCTTGACACAGGTGGCAACTGTCATTTATAAATTACGTTGTCGAGTTACATGTTACTTGTTACGAGTTGTTATCCTGTACAAGTTAGTTACCTTTAAAGTAGTGGGATAAACATCTCTTTTCAATTGCAGTGAGGAGTTACCACGAATTCTGCAATTATTCCACATCTTGACACATATAACAATTATAATACATATTATATTTATACTATTATATTAATAATATGGGATGATTCAATATATTGACACCTTTATGTGTAAAACACAGGGAAACTCTGGGAAAATCAAAGATAATTAAAAGACATTTACTTCCTTAGGTAGGTTACAGTTGCATTTTTAAAACCTCAGAACTGAAAATCATGAGAACCATACTTCCTTTAATTTTTTGTCACTGGGTTGCGTGAACTGCTCTTTCCTAAAGTAAATATAGCTAGTTCAGGAGCGTTTGGGCTAAAGCAGAGCCTGTTGTAGAAAATTTTTTCTCTAGTGTGTAGATGCACTATTTTTAAGAGATGACAGTTCCTTTTCTAGAAGTTTGAGTGCCATTGATTTTTTTTTTTATTCATTTTATCTTATTTGTCATTTTTTCATACCAGATCTTGCTCTGCTGCCCAGGCTGGTCTGAACTTCTGGGCTCAAGTAATTCCCCTGCCTCAGCCTCCTGAGTAGATGAGATCACAGGCACACCCTACCCCAACTGGCTAATTTTTTTTTTTATCAGAAAAGTAGTCCTTAGTTTTTATCATATGTGACATTCAAACAGCATTCTTACATGTGCCGATGACATCCGCCTGTGCCAGGCTGCACTGATAGGCATATGATGCACCATGAGATCCAGGCCTGGATTCCGGGCAGCTCCTGCGTGGCACAGCCCTGCAGACGTCCCACCCGCTCTTCAGACACCTGCTGTGGGAACTGTCAATCAGAACCCAGAGGGTAAAGAAAGAAGCAATGCCCAGTTTGAGGGAGAAACAAAGCAGACAGGTTTCCCAGGCCTACATCACCTGGATGTTCGGCGCACTCTGACTTTTGATCTATTTTGTGCCTCCTACCCGGAACAGACAGACACAGTTACAGGAAATGCAGGGTGAAGCAGGAAGTCAAGGCTTTCGTCATCACACGTGCCAGTGAGGGTGTCAGCAGGAAGCTTTGTCTGCAGTGCCTCAGCCACAAACTCTTCTCCCACCGCAGAGCGCTCGAGCAGCACAGCGCAACTCTATGGGACAGAGGCCGTCTCAGAACAAAAGCAAACACTGGTCTCTCCCAGTCCGCTTCTGACAGCCCTGATTTTTGTTTGCGTCTTAACCTTAAATGTTACTGTGCTATTAATAGGTAAAATAGTCCCTTCTGGTCAAATACCTGTATTACTGGCATGATACAGTTTACCACCTCCCACCCAGTAAAATTCTTTATTATGGGTATAATTTCACAAAGGTCACAACAAGAGGATGGAAATTTAATTCACAAGGAATTTATATGGACAAGAAGGAATGTTCTGTCCTTGAAGTTTATTAGTCATGCCCCTCTCCAGTGTCTCTACCACCTCCCCGTGCTTATTCTTAGCACCTGGTCCTCCCTCCTCCTTTTCCTGGAAGAGAAAAGCCTGGTGTCTTCGTCAGTTTGGGCTGCTATAGTAAAAGATCGTGAACTGAGTAGCTTATAAAGAACAGAAACTTATTTCTAATACTTCTTCAAACTGGAAGTCCATGCTCCAGTGCCAGCGAATTCCACATCAGACCAGGATCCACTTCCTGGTTTGTGGACACCTGTCTTTTACCCGGGTCCTCACGTCTGGCCGGGGTTATACGCACTCTGACTTTTCCTGGGGCTCCCACTCTTGTAACCTGGTCACCTTCCCAGACATCAACATGGCTGTGCCTTTCGTGTAAGTGTTTAGATTCAACGTAAGAATTTTGTGGATACACAAACATTCAGACCGTAGCATTACTGACATTATTCTCTTGCAATACCCACCTGTCAGAAGCTGTACGATAATTTTCTCAGCAGTATCATTTTCACGAACTGCCTCATCTCGCACACTGGCAGAAAGTGTCCCTGCTCCGAGTTCAGAGCTCCTGTGTTGAGCAGTGAGCTCAGCTCTGCAGCGCCCCAGCCCTCTCCACCCCCTCGCCTCCCAGCCCTTGTGAGCAGGTGCTCGCTGTCTTTGGCATTCCTGCTGTATGGGCTGCGTTCCTTGCTCTCTCCCTTGCATACCGTAACTTTATCACTCCTGCCTGAAGTCCTCACTGTCTGTGTTCCTCTCATCCTTTAAAACAGTTCCAAATTCATCTCCTCAGCGATACTCCGACTTAATTCAAAACCTCCACATGAGCTGTGCTAGCATTATTCTGGTTTCAGTAGCGTTGACCTAACAGTGAGTTCTACTTTTCATACATGTATTTAATTTCTCCATTTCAATTATAGATATATTGCAAACCATACCTCACCCCAGTGTGAGTGCTTGTTTTTCCCTGCTGTGTGTAGGATGTGGCCCCAGACACTTTGTGTTAACAGGACAATGATGTGTGTGGCTGTTTATCATGGTATAGGATCTTTTTTAATGTGGACCATATTCTCCTCTGACATTTTTAGGTGTAGCCCTACTCAAACCCAGGTAAGGAGCTTAGTTATCCTTAAATTCTAGGGTTTTCTTGCCCTTAGGCGTAGGCCCACTTACAAATTTGACTTGTTGCAAGTCTGATTTATTAAAGTGCTCAGCTTCATTGTGTTCAATTCCAAATGGCTGTTTTGAATCATGACATGGCCTATTAGTCCTCTATATTGTTTTTTCCCCTAAAAAATATTCCCAGTAACTACATGGCTCTCCACAAGCCAGATTTTAATAGATAACTACAGTATTACTAAAGTACCTGACCTACTTTTCAATCTTATTTGATATTTTTGATATCTTGCAATTTTTTATTTGGTACTAAAGATTGAATCCAGGGTCTTTGCACTCAGCTGCATTTGTGCGTGTGTGTGTGTGTGTGTGTGTGTGTGTGTGTGTGTGTTATGTTTTTTTTTTTGAGACAAGATCTCATCAGGTGTCTGAGTTGCTTAGTCTGGGCTCAAACTTGCAATCCTCCTGTCTCAGCCTCCCAGAGTGCTGGGATTATAGGCATGTACCCTCCCTCTCCCTGCTGATATTTGTGCTATTTTAAGTGTTCATGCTAATTGCTGCCTTTCTCTATTTGGGTCAGGTTTTCATTCTATTTAAACACAAGTTCTTCCTTAAACACATCTATTAGATGAAAGACCTTAAGCAAATTAGTGCCTTCTCATATACCTTAGATGTCTGCAGTGTGTCTTAGTCTGATTGATATTCAGCTGGTAGAACAGCTTCAAAAAAGAATGAACATAGAAAGCGGATGCAAAATATTTAAAGTCTTGGCCCAAAAAATAAATAAATAAATAAATAAAGTCTTGGCCCAAAGAAGGTAACATTCTGTTTTGATAACTGAGATATCGTTAGTGTATATTTTTGGAAATTTTGTTAGTACTGAGCAATACAAAATAGTATTTACATGCTGAGAATGTGAATAACAACAGAGAATTCACTATCAGTGGCATCAATCTGCCTTGATTAAAAATTGAAAAAGTCGATTGCTGCCTCCTTGATGTATTTTCTTGTTATTCTCTATTGTTTTCCAACTGTGCTTGGCCTCAAAGTGCCACTGTGGAGAAGTTACATAGTTTGATAATGGTTTTGCTGCTATTGTTGTTTCTTCCAATAAGGAAGGAAGCCTTTTCAAGTTTGCACATGGTTTCAAATTACTGCTCATCTAACAATCAGTTTGCAAAACCAGTTTGCACACGGTGCTAACTCAGCAGTGGGAAAAGTGCAAAGACTGAGCTTTTCCTATCCTCACCCCCTGCCTCAGCAGGGCCCTGTTCTCACAGGACTTGTCAGACACACTGAGGGAGTCGGTCACCAAGTACATTTTGAGATAAAATTTAAGCCCAAGCCTTTTCTTAAAAATGCAGATTGTTGTCCTGTATTGCAGATGTACCCAGCTGTCCAGTTATTGATTGCACAATTTCTTATATCCAGAGGTTGGAATAAAGAGATGGAGCCCAGTGTCAAAGGGAGAGAATAATAGGACTTGTCCAGTGGCTGGAACGATGCCGGTCAGGGAGGGGAGGATGTGACAGGCGAGAGGAACCACAGCCCGGGCACAGAAGGCGGATCACGCGGTGCGGCCACGGTGAGAAGACCCGCAGGGCCAGCATGGAGGATTGGTTTTGAGACCTAGGGGAGATTGGCAGCTCTGGAGGGGCTTGGTTACACCCAGTTGCCTCCACCAGATGCTCAGTGGACGCCGTTGTCAGCTCCAGAACAGGGGCGTATCTAGTGGAGGCGCAGTCTCAGGAGGCTGAATCAGGCATTGACGTCCTAGAAGACTTGGAGAGGGAGCCCCTGAGGTCACGGTGCAGAGTTCCGGGGTGAAGGGACGTGTTGGCAGCTGCAGCTGTTCTCCTCTGGTGACTTCATCTTCAAGCGCAGACGGAGCTTACGGGCCTCTGTATTTGCGCATGCGCACAAGTGTGTACGTGTTCGTTTTTAGTACAAGCCGGTTTTCTGCCCTGCTTCAGAATCAGAACCTTGACAAACACTTTATGGAGTTATGTGCATTGCCTTAGGTTTTCAGGGAAAAGCAAGGATGTAGAACAGAGCCGAGAGCAGATGAAAGGCAGGAGTGGGACAGGACTCACCCTTCCTACTGGCAACACAGGGAGCTCTGTGAGACCAGGTTACGGAGGTGGGTTGGGCTCAGACGTGGCCCTGGCACTGCCCTGTAATTTGCTGTTACTTTTTCCGTGGAGCTGAGTGCGGGTAGGGAGAGCAAGTGAAGGTTGAAAAGACCAGGAGGGTGCACAGAGCAGGCTCTGTCACGTCGCACAGGCTGTGACAAGGATTTGGACTCTGGGGCAGCTGGGACAAAAGTAGTGCTTCCTTTTCGATAACATTGTGCTGCTCTTTAAAATAGGTGCTGTCTTCTCTCTGTCTCTGAAAATATCAGGCAGCTTTGGGATTGTTTTGTTTTGTTTTGTTTCCGTGCTGGGGATGGAACCCGGACTATGCAAGGGCTCTACCATGAGCTACCCCTGCAGCCTTGTGTTTTTTCTTCTTTTCTTGCTCATTTGGAGTTTTCTTCTGTTCTCTGAAGTTGTCTTCCGTGGAATTTACTCTCGTTTTATTTTGACCTTGTCTTTTAGTCTTCAAGTTTTCTTGCAAAAAATTGGGCAACCTTTGATTGCCATTGCATATTTAAGTAGACGGTCTAGGGGAAAAAAGAGGAAGAAAGGATGGATAATCTGTCTCCACCCCTGTTACTCATGAACACAGAATTGACTCCGTGCCCTAATGACTACCTTAGCAATAACAGAAGGGTGAGGACCACTCAAGGCTCCCTTCCCCACACTGGGAACCTTCGTTGTCTGCTGCAGGCTTTCGGGTTTTGTGGTGATGACCTTTCTGGTATTTTTCCCTCCTGGGCTGACCTCCCGACTGCCAGCCACTTGGGTCTGACCAGAAGGAGGCCACCACAGATTTCTCACAGGTACACTGTTAATGTTTTCTGTGACTTGTCTGCCCTCCTACTATAGCGGCTGCCTGAACGTTCACCGACAGATCTCTGTTCTCCTAGGTCCCACTGATACCCATTCTAACCTCCTTTGTCACAAGAGTAAATATTGTATGTGTATCACTTTCTGCTCCCATTTCCTGGGAACTTTGGGAGATCACTCTTCTATTGATGGTTTTCTTTCATTATTATAATAGAATTATCACTTCTTTTAGAAGTACTTAATTTGAAGACCTTAGAGAGATAGGCAAACATTTCTGTTCACATTTTCTGTCTTAAACTAGAAGCCTGTCAGATTTCATTGAAAGTTTTGCTGGAGTAAAAAATGGTGTTTTTGGCATTCCTTTTATCACATCTTCCTTTTATCTCTCTGTAAGTCTGTCATGAGTGAGCTGTGCCATTAACCTACACTGATATGTTAGCAAATGTCAGTAGATTCACAACATCAGTTTTATCAGCTTTACTTCACATACTTTTGGTTTCACTTTGATTATAACCATAGCAATCTCAAGTTCCTTGTTCCATTGCTGTCTTAATCACTGACATCTAACACAACTATCTTCACACTCAAATCACAGGTTCCTGCAGCAAATGATAACACTTAGGCTCCCAAACAAAACTGGTAAAGAATCTATAGGAGATAAAAGCCAGTCAAAGAGCCAATACAAATGCAGTCACTGCAGACGGTCAGGTATTAGGTTAACGAGTTGGATAGCAAAGAGTGTGGCCGGGCATCAAGGTAGGTAGCATCAATGCCAGGGGAAATGGCACTGACCCGAGACAGTTCATCACCTGGTGGCCTCCTGGGCAAAGGCCTTGAAGAATATACTCAGGTGGCCCAGGACAAAGCAACAGGTCAGTGTACCATGTTGCAGGGTGAGATTCCTACCTTCTGTGTGTCTTGGGTGAGGTGGCTGCATCATTCTGGTGTGTTCAGTAAGCTCAGAAGTGGTCATTGTTTAATTGTTTATTAGCACAAATGAGTCACTTCTGAGTTTGTCGCTGTGGGTGTGCTGGGCAGGTGATAGTTGTTTGCTTTTACAGACAAATGCCAAAGCTTTCCTACCTTAGCATTTGTACCCCAAAATGAAGCAGCTCAGAATAGCTGCTGCTCTATACAAAGTCAATCGAGAAGAAAATGTCTGTCATTAATGATTTATTTTAATGTCATACTGATCCCTGATAGCTACTTAACTTTTCTAAATGTTTAAGATCATTTATTTAAAAAGTCAGGCAAGATAGTACCTGCCTGAAGTCCCCTATACTCAGGAAGTTGAGGCAAGAAGATTGCTTGAGGCCACAAGTTCAAGGCCAGCACGTGCAAAGGTCTAGAATCTTTTTTTCAGTCAATTTCAAGGTATTGTCAAGAATCTTTGATGCAGTTATAAATAAGAACTGTTTTTCCTAAATGTTTCTATCATGAACCCATTAGGAAAATTGGCAAAATGTTCATATAAGTAGTTAATTCACAACATAGGTGGGGATTTTTCTTTTTTTTTTTTTTTTTCTTGGAAGCAGACGCTTTTATTAACTGACCAAATCATAAAAACACCATGGTAGATTCCTTAGTTCATTCTTCTAATAAGTCTGTTGATCTGGTCTTCCCTATTGCCAGCATCGCCGCCTTCCACAAAGATGGGTGGTGTTTTTCTTCATCCCACCATGCGGAGACGACAATTTGAAGGGCCACAGGAAGTTATTTGCTTTTTTGAAGCGTTTTCCATGAGTGTAGATCTCATGGATCAGATCCTCCATGCAGATGATGCCATATTTACCAAGAGATCTAGCGATCAGTGAGTTATCTGTCAAGGCAATTGGCTTCTTACTGATTTTGCCATAGCCACGCTTGCATATTAGTTCATTTACTGACTTCAGGTTTGGGTACCCCCATGCAATACACGGTTCTACAATTCTCAGCATGCTAATGGAAGCCTTGTTGAGCTTAAAAAAGGTACCACTGAAGATTTGGCGAAAGCGAAGAAGCTGCAACACCTTGCGAACCTTTGGGCTCACCACACCATTGATATCCCTGATCCGGATGACAAATGCCAATTTGGGTTCTGCGAGTACATAGAAGTTGCCAGCTTTCCTTGCCATCCTCGCCATCCGAATCTCAGTCCTGTACATCTGTCTGTACTCCTTGTGGTAGTACCTGGCTTTTTCATAGACAAGCTTCCTCTGGGCCTTTCGAAGTGTCTTTTGGGCAAACTTCTTTCTCAGGTGCTTTACCTTCAGCTCTGCAAAATGTCTTCGCTTTTTCTTAAGGGTTTCTGGCACAGTAGGAACCTTCTTATTCTCCTCGACACCCTGCATGGTTCCAGCCAGAAAAGATTAGGATTTCTCTTCCTGGTTTTTATTTGTTTATTTTTGATGAGTGGGGATTGAATGCAGTGCTTCATGCATACTAGGCAAGTGCTCTACCATTGATCTGTATCCCCAGACTTTTTCACAGCTGGGATCACCATTCCCAGAAAGAGAAAATGTTAAAAATGAATAAATAAATAAGCTCTTACTATATCAAAATATGCTAGCTGGGCATGGTGGCACATGTCTGTAATCCCAATACTTGGGAGGCTGAGACAAGAGGATCCCCAAGAGTTCAAGGCCAGCCTGGGCTACAGACAGAGTGAGTTCAAGGCCAGCCTGAATTACATAGTGAGACCCTGTCTCAAAAAAAAAGAAAGAAAATCTACTCAACCTTACTCATAAGGAAAAAAATGCAAATTAAAATTGTAATGGGATTTTTTTGTTGGTTTTTTTTGCTTTTTTTTTTTTTTAACCTAGTATATTTGCAAAGATCAAAAAGTTTGGCTCGGTGCAGTGGCTTATACTATACTTGTAATCCCAGATACTTGAAAGGCTCAGGCAGAATTGCAGGTTTGAAATTAGCCTGGAAAGTTTAGTGGAACTTGGTCTCAAAAATAAAATAAAAAGGACTGGAGATAAACCTCAGTTGTAGAGCATTTACTTAACATGCCTGAGCTATGGATTCAATCTCCAGCCCCATCCCCCAAAAAATGAAGAGAAAAGTTCAGCGTAAGTCATCATTGTTAAAATTATTTTGTTATTCTCTGTGCCAGGCACAGTGCACTTTTAAATAGATTTTTTTTTTAAGTTTGACGCTTTATGAGCAGGACTGCCATAAGCACTGCTGTGTGCTGAAGATCTGAGTCACGAGCTCTATGAGGGCAGTTTGGCAGTAAGTATAAAATGTTCTAAATCACATGCCTTTGATGCAGCAGTTGCATTTCCAGGAAATTATCCTATGAATATATTCCCATACGTAATAAAAATATGACATTTGTTACAATGTACTTTGTATTTGCAAATGACTAAAGTTTCCCGAAATGCTGTTAATAAGAAACTAATTAAATTATACTTCATTCGTTACAGTGGAATTCTATGAAGTCACTAAAAAAGAATGGAGATCTTGTATACTAGTAGAGAAAAAGCACCAAGATGCAGTAAGTTAAAAAATAAAAGTAACAATGTATAGGATAGTATATTATCAATCACCCTTTTAAAATACACATACTCACCTGTGCAGACTTTCCCAGGAAGGACACAGGAGCTTTTGGAAGCAGTTGGTACATCTAAAGAGAAACTGGGCCCTATGAAGCAGAGGTAGAAGGAAATGTGTCTCTACTTGTAACTTCAATTTTAAATTGATACTTAGAGCACCTATTCAGAAATAAATAGGTTAAGTAGATAGGTAGACAGATAGATTTAAAATTTCTAGAAAAAGATATGCTACAGCAAAATTGTAAATGGAAGGCTGTTACTGAATTATAAAAATCTACCTTGGGAGATTCTGAGTTTACCAAATTGGACAAGGTGAAGAGTCTGCAGCCGTCCTAGTTTCTGCTACCAACCTCGGTATTTTGTACCCCTCTGTTTCCTTTTGGTCACTGATGTCTGTCTGTGTTTGTGCTGTAGCTGCTGCCCAGTAGTTCCAAGCACCCCCCTCTGTCCTGTAGACTGTCCCTTCACCTCCCAAACAGTGCAGCCTTTCCCTGTCAGCCGTGGGGCCATCAAGCCAGCAGCACACTGGAAACGAGGGTATGGTCGGTCCAGGCGGCAGCTGAGTTTTCTGTACAGGTTTCAGCCACATTCTTCCTGGCCAGGCCTTGACCGAAGCAATGCCAATTCCAGGAATTTATCCTATGGAGAGTCTCTGTCAGTCAAAGACTATACTGTCTTGTTTTGTTTTGTTTTTTCTTGTTCCAGCGCTAGGACTGAACCCACCAGGGATGCCCCACACTGAGCTACATCCCGACCCTTATTTTTTTTCTGACAGAGTCGATAAATTGCCTATCATGGGCTGAACCTTGCAATCCTCCTGTGTCAGCTTCCCAGAAAGGTGGAATTACAGGCATGCGCCATCATGCCCTAGATTAAGACTGAGGCTTTAAAAATGATGATCAGAGATTTGTTTTTTAAATGGTGATGAATATAAAATTATTCCCACTGTGCTAGCACAGGGAAGTTTAATGATACTAATTTTTATACCTTTGCTTAGACTGATTTAACATGAAGATAGACTCACACACGAGGCCTTGTCACTGGGACTGAAAAGGATGCAGCTCCCTGGACTGAGCCACAGGAAGGCACTTGTTCCCATTCTCCTGAGTGCAGCTTCATCACAGCTCCTGCGTGTGGTCCTTACTTACCTGGACTTCCACATGAAGATAGCTGAGCACAGTACATTCTTAGCAGCGTCACTGGGAACCGTCCCAGATGGTCTCGTAGTAGAGATGGGTGCCCTGGTTCGCCCTACCCAGGGGGTAGGCCTCAGGTTCTCTGACTTCCATCATAGAAAAAGAATGTGTAGGATGTGTCAGTAAGAAACACATAGAGGAACGTACTGGGCAGAATTTTACAAGTGCACATGCAAAAAAATAGAACGTGAGCCCTTAGAAAGGGAGAGAAGGATGCTTATCACCCTGAGCTGGGTATATGTGTAGGGGAGGTGGAGGTAGAAATCTGTAGCACTTGTGAATCCGGACGGAAGGGATTCAGTGTACAGACAGTTTTTTCTACAGGGGACAGGCGATGGCCCTTTCAGGGTGACATCCACCAGTAGCTACTGGGGGTGACAGAGCTGTAACCCATCCATGGGAGAGGCCCATTTTACATGTGAAAAGAGGCAGTCACTTTGCAGGTGAAAAAAGCTGATTGTGTTTTTAAGGACCTTAAGAATTTTTGACTGGGTTTGCTCCTGAACCTTCAGTTTGTATCAGAAGTACAATTTAAAAATTGACTTTTCTTGTCTTTACCTTGTTTTTCCTGTCAGAAGAAAGGGGAAGGGGCCTAGGAGACTGACAGAACAGGAGAAAGCAGTGTGGAGTTTACTATCTCCAGAGGAAATGATTGTTGGCTGTAGGTGAGAATACTAATTCTTACAAACTGTGACATCCAAATTTAAGTCATCAGACTGCTGAGGTCTTGGAAGTGACAGATACGGGGCTGTTAATAAAGTTGGTACAATGTGGTTTTCCTTTATGTGTTGTATAACAGCGTGCATCAGGTTTTATGGAAGCCCGTGCGTTCTTGTTGGTAACAGAAGTGTTATCCAGTAGGTGAAGTCAGGCCCACTTGGTCTGTCTGACTGTTCTGAGTTTCCTGCAGACCAGCTTTCAGGGCCTACAAGTGATGTGTAAACTGGGTGGGAATGACCTGCCAAGCCCAAGTGAAACCAGACCCTGTGTTTCCAGCATCTGCCGCTGTTTCCTGGGTCCTGGTCTGTCTCCCTGACAAGCCCTGAGCGCCCTGCCAGCAGAGACCAACCCTGTAAACATTGTTGAAAGAGGAGGTTGGGTTTTTCGTTTGTTTGCTGCCCCATGAACTGTTTTAGTCAGTGTCCTTGAAAAGGCTTTGTCTTCTTTTTAAAAAATAAAAGAACTGATTTTCATATTTTCATGACTTAAGTGCTGCCTGTTGAGCTTCATTGACTTTAAAGTTATTCAGAGCCCCTAGGGAAGTATTCCACTTCCTGACCACATCCCAGCTCAGGGTGTGGATGCTGTGCAATTTCTGCGTATTGCTGACAAGACCTCCAAGTAAGGGCCGCAGGCAGGAACAATCTCAACTATTAGGAATTAACTTTCTTGAGCCTATAGTACATTAAATAAAAACCTGAAGTGGAATTGCCCGGTGGATGGAATTCACTTCCTTTGTGAAACAATACATAATTAATCTCATCTTAATCAACATATGAATGACCACCTTGAGCAAAATGTTAAGCCTGCTGCTGTAGAAAAAAACTGAAGTTCCCTGCCTTTAAGAAACTTAGTGCAGTAGTTGGATAACTAAGACACCTGAGAGAAAAGTAAGAAACGCTAAGGCATTGATGGATAGCAGCCTAAAATCAGCACCAGCAAGGAGGGGACAGGAGGGGACCGAAGGCTGTGAGGAGGACATGCCCCTGGCTGGACCATCAGGGAACCACTCTGAAGACAACAAATGTAAGAAAGAATGGGGTGGGAAATACCTGGAAAGAGGCAGTTTTAACTTAAGCACAGTTGTGTGTTTTGCAGTGAGAAACACTGGGTAGGCTGCACAGAGGCGTACACTATAATCTTTTCAGCACCAAGCTGGAGTCCCTGAAACAACCACCCACCACTTTGTCCTGTGCCCTGTACAAAAGCCCCTGACCGAGAAGAGCCAAGGTCACAGTGTGGCCCAGGTGTAGCCCACACTTGGTTCCTTTGCGCCTTGATGCTGGTCTGTTTGTGCCCAGAGCAAGGGACTCCTTGCTTCTGCCAGACTGAGTATCAGGACCACCTTCAAACAGAGGGACACCTTTTCGGAGTGGCTCTTACCTGGAGTGGCTCTTTCTACACGGGACAAGTATGGCTGCGCCTCTATGTCTCACCTGAACCTGCACAAGATTGGATAAATGCTTAAATAAATACTGAGATGGACTGTTGAAGATCCATGCACAGTTATTCTCTCTACTTAAAGGGGGTTTCTCAAAGTGGATTTTTGCCCGGCCTTTTTGAAAAATAAGAGTTGATGTATTTGTCCTCAGAGATGGGGAGAAGACCACGTCTCTAAGGCCACTTCTCTGAGGCCATTTAACTGTTCTAAAACATTTTGAGTCCGTAAATTAAATTGACGCCAAGATTAAATAAAAGTTCAATAATTTTGTTAAACCAAAACAGTGTTCTTATAATATTTCAAGGCCTTCCATGTACCTTTTGTCACATAATGCAGTGCAGTGATGGACTAAGTCCTGTTAAAATACTTCATCCTAACTGAAGTAGATCAGGTCTCTGTCCTCCAGTATCTGCCTACCGAGAAGAGAGATGCTACCTACAAATGAGAGTACCAATCGTGCCTAGGGATTATTACTTGTTGGTCATCTTTGTCAAATGGGCTTGGCCTTGATTTGGACACTAGGGTAGGACTGGTAGTATGATCTGCAACATTCATGTCCTGTTGTAACCTAAACTGACCAGTAACATTTAGTGTCTGTGATATGCAGATGAAAAGACCACATTAGGTCATAAACTAGGATTAAAATTAGCAACTCTGTGAAAACAGTACCATCTTACTTTATGCTTACCTGCCAATGAATTCTTACATCCTCAGAAGTGTGTTCTTTGCTGCACAGACTGACATCCAAAAAGATGTAATCATGAATTGTACCTTCTCTTTTCCCTTCAACATTCCTTTTCTTTTGCTTTCCACACTGGAAACTGTCCCCGGATAGTCTTCAAACTACCAGCAGAAGGAACTTCTACATCTGCCTCAGTGCATTTATTAGTGGTTCAGTGCATAAACTCCCTTGATTTATCTTCCTCTTAACTCACTTCCACTCTTTTTTACCCAGGTCTGACCTAGTTTATCCAAAGTGTATTGATCATGACTATATACGATCACTGTTCTAGGCCCTGGTGTAAAGATGCTTAAGACTCCTACCCCATTCTGGAAGTGTCACAGTGAAGAGTTAGTAAATGCATGAATACATGGTTGACAAGATGGATGGATGGATGATTGGATGGGTGGATGGATGGATGGGGAAGAGGGGAGACACTGAGAGATTTCACACAGAAACACCTTACTGATGGACAGAACCAAGTTTGAATCCCAGCCAAAATAGATGCTAGCTTTTTGAGCTTGGGCAAATGCCCAAGGAAGAGCCTTAGATTTTTCATCAGTAAAATGAAAGTAATGATCCCTACTTCACCTACCTCACCAGGGCGATTGTAAAGATTAGAACTGCAATTTGCTTAGGAAATTGCATGGTTAAACAACCCAAACCTTCATCGGCTGCAACAAAAGGTGATAAGTGACCTAAAAGAAGTGCAGACAAAGGGAGGAGTTTCCCAACACCTGCAACCAGTTGGCCACGAGGTGTGTGTGTGTGTGTGTGTCTATGTTTGCTCCACGCCTGCGCACAGAGTCCTTCCCAGCCTTCAGGTGATCTTCTGCCTGCAGGTGATCTGCTGCCCTAGCACACACATAAACCAGGCAGAGTTCAGCCGCACAGGGCCACAGGCACAGATGTAGGAGCTGAGCAAGTTCCTGCATGGTCAGAGGTTAGGGAGAAGCAGGTGTGGTCGGCAGCTACTGCCCTTGAGGCGCCAGCCAGCGAGCTAGAATAGAGATTGGGAAAGGTCACAGCTGTCAAAGTTGATAAACCTGTCAGTGGGGACCAAAGACCGTTCCTCCCTCGGAAAGACGAGGTTGTATCACTTCACCATTTTGCTTCCCACCGCCCTCTGGATGCCTAAGGTGAAGCGCTTTACTCTCTTCTCTAGCTCAGAGGCTGAGAATGGTGCGGATGAGAAAAAGAAGGTCTACAGGTCACCAACAGCCCAATCCCCTACGCCATCCACAGAGGCCGAGTCCCCAGACCAGAAGAGAAGCATTTGCCTGCGGTGAGTCTTCGCTTGGCTCTTTGTTATCGGGCTTTGGGAAGTGCCAGCATTTCTAGTTTCATGTTGTTGTTAAAGGTGAGACTCAGCCGAAGGTAAATAAACGACACCGGGGCTGCCTCCCTCTTCCTGGCAGCGGCCTGCCCCGGTCTGTGGCAGAGTGCTGACCCTTTCTGAGGTCGATTCTGCTGAAATGAAGGCCAGGTTGAGTGTAGATGAGGAGGTCCTGGGCAGCTGCATGGCGTGAAGATTCTCAGCCCCGGGGTGTGCACACCTGGCCTGCTTTCCCAGGAGCCCCAGAGAAGAGCGGAGGAAAATCCGTTCCAGGAATCAGGGAGGGCATCGCATCCTGTGACTGGGAAGCCTGGTTTGGTTGTGGACCAGCCGAGAAGTACTTTGAGATATGCAACTATAGTCCCCCCGCTCTTAGCAGCACCAGCTACCGAGCAAAGTCTTAAGGTTGCTCTTTAGCCCTTAAAAGAGGGGAACGAAACTAAGGGTCGGTGATGGGTAAGGGCTGACGTGACTCACTCTGAATTTTTTACAGTATTGAAGCTTGAGCCTAAGACCTTGAATATGCTGGCAATGTTGTGCCACTGAGCTACATCCCCTGCTCTAAGCGTGGGTTTTCCTCTGCACTGAGGAGTAGTTGCTCTCCGCCCCCATGATTAGGACTCTGAACTGCTGCTACCTTCTCCCTCCTTTGGCCTCTGCTGAGAGATCGCTAACGAAGTCATGCTTTTCACTCTTTTCCTGGCTCCCCAGCCCATACTTTCTCTCCAAATCTATATTTCATACAGACCAAATGCAAGTCTTAGCTCCTCCCCCACATTTCCCTCTGCAGATTCCAGTTCCCAATTACCCATCAGTCTCTTTGGATGCCTGATGTGGCATTTCACTTTGCGCCATTTTTTCTATAGTTTTTCATCAGAGAATCCTGCCTCATTCACCAAATGAGTTTCTCCAAAGGGTACAAAATAGGCTCTCTCATGTATCTTTCACCACTGCTGACTGTCTATAGCAGTCACCTTGCAGACACTGGTTTTACCCCAAGCTCCCCATGTTTTTTATGAATACTGTGCACACATCAGCAGTACACATGTAGGCCACTGTATGGGCGCCTACCTTGTGCCATCAGGCCTGCGCTAGATTAATGCACACTGTCTAGAAATTCTTAATAATTTACGTAAGGGACCCCATGCTTTCATTTTGCAGTGGGCTCCAGTCTTGCCTATAGGTGCCTGTAGGAAGTGAGAGACCCAGAGAAATCACTAGTGTGTGAGGAGGTCTGGAACTGCTGTGTCTCTGAGGTTATCAAACAGAGCTGCCCTACTTGTTGCAGTTGCCTACAGTCCATAACCAGCAGAAGAGCTGACCGTTTCCTTGGCAGTTCCATGAATACTTCAATCAGTAGAGGTGATATATTCAAATTAATAGGTAGTATGAATAAAATAAAATTTGGCATCTGTAAAAAATAATTTTATTCTCAAGTAGAACACAAATGTTTACTAATAGTTTCCAAAAGATAATCTGTAGAATTCCTAAGGAATTTTTATCTATGAATAGGTTGAAGGCCCATAGCTGAAATCAAATCCATTTAACCTAAATTTGTGAAAAGACTTTACCTGTGACTTGGTGTTGCGTGGAGTGTTGGAAGGAACCTAGGATGTGATACGGTCCATCTTGTCACAGCAGAGAAAACCAATGCCTAATGTCTCTCGAAGGGTCGCTCATTTATCCCCCTCTACCGCACCTGAATGACTTCAGATTCTTCCTAAGTCTCTCAAGCTAAATCCAAAGCCTTGTTTTAAGGGATAATTATATAGAATCATAGACTTCGTGGATGCCATTTCCCTAAGGCAGGTACAGAATTATGAAACTTGTTCATATATGTCTTACTTCTACAAATCACACATTCATTCCACTTGGAAATGACTGGTTTGGACCGTAAGGTTGAAACCACACCTGCTTCAGTGGAGAGCCAGCACCACAATCACCTGAGAGGAAATTCTGGAGCTCTGACCTCTGCCCTCAAAGGACAAGGAAGACTTGAACTTAAACGTGCTTCTTCCTTCTTTCTTTTCTTTTTTCCTTCTATCCTTCTGTCCTTCCTTCCTTTCTTTTTTCCTTCTTTTGGTTTCACTTTTATTGTTTTCCCAGCCTTGTCTCTCTTTCCTCATACCCAGTTCCTTGCTCATCCTGTCAGGCCCTGTGTATTACACCCACACCGTTCCGTTGGTGTCCTCTTGCCTCTTAGACTTGCTGTCTCTACCTTCGCCTCACTGCAGTGCTGTGTGTTGCTAAATCACGCACCGCCTATTTAGCAGATATTTGATGCGAGTGTACACAGGCTCCCCACGAATAAAGACTGCTGTGTCCCCAAAGCGTTTAACACAATGCCTCACTCAGTTCAATTAATACTTGTTAAATACTAGTGGGTTCTGAAACAGAAGTATTCTTTGATTGGACTATAGTTGTAATTTAGTAATTTGTCTCAACCAGACCTCTTTATACAGATTTAAATACTTTTTAAATGACACTTTTAAATATATAATTATTTTCCCATCTCAGTGCTACTCCGCAGTTCATGATTAGTTTGCAGATGTCATTCCAGCCTGTAACATATGTGCCGGGTAAATGCCCTTAGAGTGTCATTAATGATTATCTAGAAGAGAAAAACCAATGTCAGATAATCTCGTGACTTGGTATAATAATTGAGATTTATTGCAATAGTGATTAGCATAAGCAATTCATTTTACAGTCTCCCTGGATTTTATTTCCCTAGATCAAAATCCAGTTTTGATGGCACCTCTTTAGCAGGTGACAAGAACAACTGCAAAACGGAAGGCAAAAATGACTCTAAGACTGAAAGGAAAAAGTCTTCATCTTCGAGCCAGGTAACAGCAGTGGGACTTGTGTTGTCTCTGGGAGAAACAAGTATTGGAGCCACTGGAAAGGAAAACCCAAGCATGCAGCTTCCTGCTGCTCAGGGCTGACGCAGGCGTTAAGTTTACAGAATTGAGAAGACAAGACAGGCAGCAGCTTTTCTGGTCAGTGTTTCATTGATATTAGGACCCATAGCTGACCTCTCAGTACCTGTTAAGGGGCAGTTAATGCTGAGCTGTGGAGAGCAGAGCCTAAGGCAGTCATGGACTTGTCTAGTGAGCAGGAAGGGAGGTGGACATCCTTGCATTAAAATTATATGGAGTCTGCTAAGAAACCAGCTCGAGAAGGAAGACCTATGAGCAAAGTCACAATTCTTTAGAAGTAATTTTATTTCTGCAAAGCCCAGTTTTGTCATAGAGTGTGATATATTTACTAGGGCCAGGAGCATAGAGATTTGGGGTTTAGTTGTGAGAATTAAACCCAAGGCCTCTTGCATGCTAAGGACATATTCTACCTCTGAGCTACACCTCTACTTAGCCCAAGGCTTTCTGCTATCATTACTTTTTGATACAATAGCCCTTCAAGGGCCTGTGCACGTGTCTGTTTCTCCTTTCAGACTTCTCCACTGAAAGCCTCCTAGGAGGCCAGGGAGTCCTGCGGAGGAAGGGTCCACCACTGCCTCTTAGTCGCTGTGTGGTAGGGACCATGTGACTCAGTATTCCCAGCACAGTGCCCAACCCCTGGAATGGGAAGCCAGGTTCTCAGTAGAAGGATGACCTGAGAGCATTTCACAAGCTAAATTGCTGGCTACTCGTTACTGTTGCAGAGACAAATGCCTTGAAAAGAAGCAGTTTGTAACATTTCAGACTCTTGGGCCTTCTGCTACCCTGGGAGTTCAGTCTCTTGCATCAAATCTTCCTTGTCTGCTTCTGGCCTCTTGTCATTGCTTAAGCAGTGCCTTCACAGCATCACAGTAGCGACCACACTGTCCCAGGCAATGTGCTATCTCACAGAAGCCGATGGTGTCCCTCCTAGCAGGTTATATTTTTGCCCCCTGGTACAAAAGAGGAAACTGAGGCGCAGACACATTATGTGACCAGGCCCTTGTCACACACCAAGGAAAAAGTAGAGCCAACAGAGCTGATTCAGGTTTATTTGAGTATGAAGCCTTGAACCCTTGTGCTCTTCTGCGGGTACACCCTTGTAGCTATAGTGCCCTGTGATCTAGTACCTTCGCCAGTTAGAATCTTCAGCATTATCTCTCATTTCTTATCAGGAATATCCTTGTCCTGCCCTGTTACTTCAGCTGACCACCAGCTACACCCTGTACCCACCCAGCAAGGCATTAATCGTATCTGAAAATGAAATCTCTGTACCCTGACTTCGGCTGTGTCTCAGTGAAGGGTTTTGTTGGAGACTTAGAAGAACAGAGAGAATGAATTCTTAAAGCTGGTGTGAAGGGAGGGAAAATTTGTTACTTAATTTAAATTGGAGTTGCAATTTGTAATGTTCCTCACACACATCTAACAATATCTGCATTCTGTCCTTGCAGTACAAAGCAAACATGCACTTTCACAAGTTGTTTCTTGATGTCCCAACTGAGGAGCCACTGAGGCAAAGTAAGTTCAGACCTGTTTGACTTTCTAAGCTCTGTGTTTGAGAAGTTACCCTTCAGTTTGTGGAGATGGAGGGCATGTTCTGGGGACCCAGTTTCCAAGGAGAGTAGCTTTCTGAAGGGACTAGATCATGTGATAATTATGGTGGCTGCAGTCATCTGTCACCGAGCACTTTAAGAGATGAGAGCGTAGACCAAGAAACTGAATTGCCATATGGACTCATCCGGGCGTGGTCCAGAATGATCGCTTTGCCTTTTGTATTTATTGCTAAAATGCATAAGATTAAATCATCCTGAGGCTTAGAATAACAAGCCTGGGGCAAGAGAGGCCTAGCAGAAAAAGGCTAAAAGGAAGCACAGGTCTAAGTGGAGCTCTATGCTTTAATGCCTGTGCAGTGCAGGAGGACATAGTGTTCACAGCTGAACACTTCCCAGCCTGCCAGGCCAGAGTGAGCCTCAGGTGGGACCTGAGTTTCCTTCTTGCCTCTCTCAGTATACAAATGTTAAGACAAAGTGCCGGATTCCTGCTGTGATCTCGAGGCAGAGGTGTAGTTGTGTGTGCTTACCCCCCACCTCCGACACCGTGTGGTGCATTAGTGAGTCCTGAGTGAGGCCCCCGGGAAGGAAGGACCAGAAGTGAGTAACATGTCTTCCTAAACAGAGTAGTTTTTTGAAGTACCTTTCTTGGTTTCTAGTGTATAATGGTAGACTTACCTTCTGGTCTTGATTCTGTATGACTTTGAAAAACTATAGTGACAGCAGCTTTAGCCCACCAAAGGTAACTGAAAAGAGGGTGTTAGCATTTTGGAGCATGAGTGTATCATCCCTGCCCGTCCTTGAGTCACCAAAATACAAACACAATTTTTATTTTAAATAAATAATATTCTAGTGGAATTCTGATGTCATTACACCTCACTGTATTCTCCCAGGCTTTACCTGTGCTCTACAGAAAGAAATACTGTACCAAGGAAAGCTCTTCGTATCAGAAAACTGGATTTGTTTTCATTCCAAGGTCTTTGGAAAAGACACTAAGGTGGGTGTAATGTTTACAGAAAAGCGTGAGACCTGTAGTTTTTATGTATTGTAAGTATAAATTGTTTTACATTTAGCTTGCTTGTATCGTGATTATGTGTTTATACCAAGTTCCTTTTGTGATCGCTCCAAATGCTAGATTCTAAATGGCTCCGGATGACATTGGTTTCCCTTTCTCCCGGATTACTGCTTTCACTCATTTCCTTAAACCGATACACACTCCACCTCCCCCACCCCATACCCTAGATCCCTTTTACCCAGATGTCACCAGAGACACTCCAGAACTGTTCATATGGGGAGAGTGCCATACCTTGTTGTGAAGGCATTCATTAAAACCAAAACATTTTTAAGAGAAATACCAACTTTTGCAGCACGTTCAGATCTGTTACCAGAGGGTATAAGACAGCTGACCTGTGAACACACTGCTTACCGTCATTAGCACGAATGAGCAGGAGCTGGAGCGCTGGGAGAGTCCCACAGGCACAACCCCAAGCGTGCACTGGTCGTCTTTTTATAGGACTGATGGATCTTTTCATTCTTATCAGACACAGATTCAGGGGGCCAGGGGGCCTGACAGCCTGCTGCACGTGAGAATTGCCTGAGGCCCCAGCAGTTTGCCCAAGGCACTCACTTCTAACGTTGTGGCTGTGGCGTAGGAAGGGAAGGGAATCCCATCCTGCTTCTGTTCTTGCCTTTGAGTTTACGCAGGGCGTCAGAGTAAGTCAGAGAGATGCCTTTTCAGGTTTGTGTGACTTCAGTGAGTGTTCAGTCACTTGACTCATGATTATGAATTGGCTTTTAGATTCATAAAAGTAGCTGATTAGAAAGTCTCTATTTTGAGTAGACATACTTCATTTAAATATTCTCCCTCAAGCCATTAGCAATTATATAAAGACCACTCAACAAATAGAATGGAAGTTCTTCATTTTGTTGGTATGAAGACTGTAAAGTAGCATAGTATCCTTTGAGTTATGTTACGTTACTCTTGTGTTGTTTATTATATAGAGTTATAAACGTTTTAATTCAGGTTATTAGCTAAATCAGTGTAATGCAAAGCCATATTAAGTAGCACTCCACCATACCTCTGTATTTCTGGATTATAAGAACTTTTTCATAGAGGAGAGCGGGGGATTTAGTAGTGCTGATTAGTGTGGAAAGATAGTTCTCAGGGAACCAGAAAGAGCCAGCTTCTCTGAGAAGACCAACGCCAGTGGGGTTGAAAACATGTGAACAAAGATTATTTGTTTCTAAGAGATGGGGCTTCATAAAGGCAGTGAGTACCGTGTCAAACTGATACGATTCTAGCAACGTTTTTTTTAAATCCTACTTCTGCCTGAAAGAGAAGTGACAGAAAGCTAACAGGAGTGACCCTAGCTTTTTAAAGACATGGGACACTGGGATTGCTTTTGCATATGTTGTGTCTTATTAATTGAAGCAGGAGATGGAAAATTAAAAGGGCATAGGAAGAAGACCCAGGACAGTGACTTGTGTGTTTCTCCCCCTCTAAAGATGGTATCAAAAGAGACCTGGGCTTCAGAAATGTGGCAGAATTTCCTCACTGTCTACAGACCTTCGTCCAACATGATCATTATAAACTGAAGGCGCCCAAACACAACATGTGCTCTAGAAGGAAGAACTTCCCAAGTACTCTACTCTGAAGAAATATTAATAAGATGTAGCCTCACTTAAATCAGGGCCCTTGAATCAGCCTATTCAGATGCTGGTAAAATTAATGTGTGTGTCCCATCCCATCCAATCTCACTGAAGAGTCATTTTCACTTCACAAATAATCTGGTTACAATTTTTGAACTAATGATGCAGCTGAGTGCAAACTTCTTAAGGCTCTTCCATGCCTTGGCAAAACCTACGTTTATAGCACCTTGTCACTGTGTGTTTGTGTTGCTACTTAGAAATTAGACCCATCAGTTACCTGAGTATATATTAATTTCTCTTTTTTTCCAGAGTTATCCCACCTTAAAAATTTAGAATTACCTCCTGCCCTAGAAAAATTTTGTTGAGTAGAGTTCTTTGGCAAAGTAACTTTTAGAAAAGATCTAATTTCCATTAGTCCCTCATGCTGCCATAGTCTTCGGCCTGAAACATAGCAGGACAATAAATAACTCTACCTGAGAAGCCCACATGCAGTGCAAATATTCAAAGTAAAAAGCTCATTCCCTTTCCTTCAAGCTGGCATTACCACTTCTTCCCGCAGACCTTGGTGAGCTCTTTAGGAATACTATACGTAAAGCATTTTTATGAACCAGACATTCGAGTGTGTGTACCCTTTATTTTCAGGGGTCACAGTGTGAGTTTCCTTTCAAACCTACCCTAGCTGAAGGGATATAACAAATACCGGGAATGTCTGTTGTTCTTTGTGCCGCCTGACATATTTTTTAACTTCTTGTATGTATGATTGTTAGCAAGTCATGTATCTAAAGTCTAAGTAAATTTTGTTATCTCTTAAAATAGCAATTTTATAGGATCATCTTAAATAATATTATCATCTAATGAATATTAATAATGGTAGCTTCTACACTTATTAATGGTTTTTATTAGAAGCAGAATAAACTTAGAGGTTTTTTTCTAAGCCATCTTGATTTCATGAGTCAAATGGGGAAATGGATGAAATTCTTATTTGCCACGGGACATTTTTTATGTATTATATCATTGAATCCACAGAAAACTGAGAAGTAGACGAGACTGTCCATGACCTCTGGGTCAGGAAAGAGAGCTCCAGAATGGATAACCTCCCTGCTTGCATAGGTCATAGGCAGGGACACAGCTGACTCCACACTAAGACTTCTGCCCGCTGCGGGCTCTCCTGCACCCATGCTTGTTAGCATTCTTCGCCCCGCCTGCACCCAGCACAGAGGAGGGACGCATGGGGAGACTGGCCTAACGTGGGGGCCGCAGGCTGGAAGCTTCTGCAGAGTCCTGGGCTCTAATAAATGACAGTGAACGTGAATTCTCACTCTGTTCACGTGTCTAAAGAGAATGGTTCCCACTAAGACCCTCACTAGAAGTGATGATCCCAGTTACCCTCGGGCTTTGTGACCGCCAGTTTGAAGACCTCAGTGACACCATTTGTGCCGCTCATCAAGATTCACTTTTCCTCATGAAGGCTCCAAAGCGTGATGCTGGTGTTGACTGCTTTATGTGTTACTTTCTTTGTTTCCTATACTGTGTAGCTTTGAAGCACTGTTCTGTGGAGCCTGAACCAGTGTGAACTCCCTGATTCTGTTTCAGATCTCTATTCCGGCTTTCTCGGTAACCCTAATAAAGAAAACCAAAACTGCTCTTTTGGTGCCAAATGCCCTGATTATCGCCACAGTCACTGACAGGGTGAGTACACTGCCCGGGGTACCTTTGCCTTGTTCTCATGTCCTGGGCTCCGTTGCCTTTCGAGTCTCCTGCCAAGGCCTAAGACCCTGAACCATAAATGTTGTCTTCTCCCATGGTGTGGCAGAGACGTTCACTAAGACTAGCTTTTAGAATTAAAGGCCGGAGACATTTGTGTTCTGTGGTTTCCCTTACACTTGATCTTAGCCAAAAGGCCAAGAAGCAATGTGGTTTCCCTTACAAGATGATTTATTCTAATATAATTGTTGCCAATTTTGAATGTCCTGCTGACTTAATTATACTTGTCTGACCAAGGTCAAAAAAATAAAATTCTTTCCTAACTTCCTTTCTTTAACATCTGTTCATTCAGGCTACACTGATATATTCAGTTATTTTAATATTACCTTTTTAAAAAGTGCCAGCTACGTTACCACACATCTGTAATACCAGCACTTGGGAGGCTGAGTCAGGCAAATTACAAGTTGAAGTCCAGCCTGGACTACATAATAAGACCCTGTCTCAAAAATACCCCCCAGAGAAGATTAAAGTCAAGAGCAGTAACAGCCTTGCTGACAGGGTAAAGCAGGATGATTCTGAGGACTCCCGGGATGGAGATGGCTGGCCTCCTCTTCACTGCAGCAGGTCCCCACCCCAGAGCATGCGCGAAGCTCATGTCTGCTCTGCGATTGCAGCTTCAGGACCAGGTTGCTGCCAGATGAGACCCAGGTTGCTGCCAGATACCTGAACAACCTTTCTTTTGTCCAGCAATTGTAGAGCTATTGTTGACTATTGGGCTGTCCCAGATGTGTACAAGCAGCGATATTTCCACTGAAAGTGGAAATTTATGGACAGGGTGTGTGGCTTCATGGTTGAGTACTTGCCTGGTGTGCCTGAGGCCCTGAGCCCAATGTCTAGCACTGCAAAAAACGGAAGGAGGGGTAGAGATGGGGGAGTGAGGGAAGGAGGGAGAGAGGTGGGGAGGAGAGAGCAAGAAAGGAAGAACGAAAACAATCTCAGCTTGACAAAGGGAAGGGAGTGTAGTAGTTTGGTTGCTCATTTTTTGGTTGAAATCATAATTTAATCTTTCACCTACTATTTTTATGAAGGCATAAAAACTACATTCTATTTCTAACCATAGTGGATAGCTTATAGAGAGCAGAGAGGGGACAGAAAGATAAAAGAGGCTGTTGTGATAAGCTAAAAAATGTTAATACATGTATTTTGAGGTTCTTTCTTTAATACAAATAGCTAACAGGCATCAAGCGCTTCTGCCAGGCACACATCCAGTGCCCTCGTTTGTATATTCTCATTAAGCCCATACCACCACCCCACAGTGAAAAAGTTCTTAAGCAATGTCCCAGGGTCACCCACTTCATAAGTGTCAGAGCCAGAATCTCCACCTGGATCTGATGCCTGAACTCACAGTGTTCTCCAATTTGGAATCTAGCAGTATTTATTTGGAAATTGTTTAGCATTCTTCTTGGTGAGTGAGAGGGAGCCAGCCTCTCAAATTCATGGAAAAGAGTTCTGAAAAGATTTCATGGCTCACGTAAATGGAGAAAGAGTGAATTTTTATATTTTGTGAATGTACTATTCATGGTAAAAAGAAATTCTGTGTGTCATTTGTCTCCAAATTATTTTCTGGCTTTTATTTTACTCTTTTCCCATAAGCATCCACTAAAAAATCTCCATATTTGTACAAGGAGGGGTCTGAAAGTAGCATGAAAAGGAACCAGCATGTCTGAGCCACTGGGAAGATTTAAAGCAAATCTAGGTCAGAAGAGAGAAAGCAGACCCATGGGGATTGTTAAATACCTTTCAAAACAGCAAAAGTGGCTGAGGGAAAGACTTCATTTAAAGAGGATCTAGCAACATCACTAGGATTTTCTTCATGTTAAGACTTTCCTATCTTTTCAGGCACCACTTTTAGACTTTTGGAACCTTTATTTTGCCCTACATGTCTTTTACTACTCTTAGATTGAGTTTAGGGTCATATTGCTATTCAGAGAGAATTACTTGTTTTATTCCTGAAATGAAATAAAAGTGGAAGAGTCGGGTGAGACTATAGAGCAGAGAATGGTCTCTGTCATTGGAAAATGGAAAAACTATATTCAGATTTTTTAACTTGACACTGTCACTTCTCCTCAAATAGTATCTGGCATAATTATTCTCTTTTCTTTTTCAGTACATATTTGTCTCTTTACTCTCCAGAGATTCAACTTACAAACTACTCAGATCTGTATGTGGACACTTAGAAGTGAGTGTGACATCCCACGCTTTAGTTCCTGCCTTTCTTTTGTATTTTTATGGGTTTTTTTAGGGTAGTTGATCTGACTTTCGTGTTTTTCAATCATTTCAGAATACAAGTGTTGGTAATAGTCCCAACCCATCTTCTACTGAAAATTGTTTTGGGGCAGATCGCCCCTCATCTCTGCCCCTGGTAAGTAACCATCCGATCTAAATGCAAAAGGGACTCGCCTCATCCCGTCCTACACTCTGCCCACACCATGACAGCATGGGACAGATTGGGACCAGGGCTGCAGGGACAGCAGAAGAAAGGGCCTGTTTCCCAAGAGGGAACCATAGGACGCCATAAGCTTTTTTCTAGGAATTGAAAGGTGCTCCACAAATGTGATACTAGTCTGTCAAGGTCAGTTACTAGTCATTGGAAGTGTTCAAACTTTATTTGCTGGCATTTTTATTTAAAGTATTGTGGATCAAGCACAAGGCTTCATGCATTCTCAACAAGTGCTCTAGCACTGAGCTACCTCCCTGGCCATCCATACTGTTTTAAAAGTATTCACAAATCTCTCTGGGGAAGGGCACAAGTCACCCCTTGTTCACGGTGCTCTACTAGTGTGTACTGTAGGAGACCAGGAAAAAGCAAAACTGAATCCCACCTTCAAAAATTTCACAGCTTAGAAAAGCAAATGAGACAAATTCAGAAATAACTTTTTTAAAAAAGGAAAAAGAGAGCCAGACAGAGTGGTATACACCTATAGTCTCAGCACTGAAAGACTGATGCAGGAGGATCTTGAATTCAAAGCTAGCCAGGACTACATAGTGAGGCCCTGTCACTACAAGCCAAGAAAAGAAAGAAATCTGTAAGACCCAAGCAACAGGTAGAGACTGTTTGAATCCTCTAGGCTCTGTTGACTGAAATGTAAATCTCTAGTGGGAGATTGTACAAGATTTGTGACTGTAACAGAACATGTTTTCACAAGAGAATTCTAACCATAGCACTGATTATTCCCAAGTTAGTTACATTAAGTGATTGTTACCAAATTGGTTATTGTTACATTTACCTTCAGTGAACCAGCATCTTCTACAGATCTTCATTTCAAAAAAATAGTGGAATTGGAAACACATTCACACCTCTTGTCCGAGAATGTTCATAGCAGTAGTATTCATAATAGCCACAAAGTGTGTGTGTGTGTGTGTGTGTGTGTGTGTGTGTGTGTGTATTTTCCCAATGTACTTCAACAGATGAATGGATTTATTAGAATGTGGTGTATACATGTAATCGGATATTATTTAGCTATAAGAAGGAAATGAGGTGCTGATACATGCTACCCCATGAATAGACCTTAAAACATGCTAAGTGCAAGAAGCCAGACCTGAAAGGCCCTATATTGCATGCTTATATTCTCAGATAGTCCTAGACTTATGGATTGGGTTTCCATCTCAATAAACCATCATAAATTGAAAATGTCTTAAGTTGAAAATGTATTTAATGTACTTTACGTACTAAAACTCATAGTTTAACAACACAGTATATCCGAGAGCACTAATCGTTCCCCATTGTGACCACACGGCTGCCTGGGAGACCCGGCTCTCAGCTACCACCCAGCCTCACAAGATGCCCCACAAGAGCATATTGCTAGTCCAGCAAAAGATCAAAATTCAAAATTTGTCATATGGTTTCTACTGTGTATTGCTTTGACACTACTACAGAGTTATAGAGACCCATCTGTCTATGAAACATTCCAGATGGGCAGCCCGTACACACAGAAAGCAGATTAGTTGATAATAGGGAATGGGGTAAGGGAAGAATAGGGAGTGACAGCTGCCGGGTACAGGATTCTTTTGGAGATGGTGGAAATGTTCTGGAATAAGATGCTAGTGATAGGGGGACAATGCTGTGAATATTCTAAAAACCACTGAATTGTAGTGGATTTTACCTCAAGCACTGAAGAATCTATCTTATAAAAAGTACTGGGAAGCAGTAGATAATATAATTAAACACGTAGATGTGGCGTCAAACAAGCCTGGTTTCCAGCCTGGGCCCAGCCAGCTGGGTTACTTCATCAGGCCAGCTCTTAGATTGTCTCAGTTTCTTCAGCTACTAAAACGCCAGTGTCAGGCTGTGGCTGTAAAGATCGAACGCAGGCATGCGTGTGAGGAGATCTGCACGCTGCTCATGTTCGGTCGGTGTTCTGTAAGTCGGTGAAATTGAAAAGATTTAAAATTTTCGACTTTGCATCCCCTATAAATTCTTATATGAAGTTGAAATGAATTTAGAGATGACCAACAGACAGGAAGTTCAAGGTGAAAGTTTGGTAATTTCCTTCTAAGATGAATCTCTTTCATTCGGCAGCTAAGTTGTTAAAAGCTCAGCCTAATTATAATTCCCTCAGGACATTTTAATGAGGCTCTCGTCTCGTTTGTTCTCAGTGCTCTGGAAGAGCCCATAGAATACAAAGTAAAACGTCTCTTTTTCCTCTTCTTACCCTCTTTATGTAATTTGAATGCAGTGTCCCTGACTGCTCTGATCTAGCTGTGGGTAGAAAGCGAGGTGAAACTTTATTTTAATAGTCTGATCTACAGAAGCCATTTTCCTTTTCTGTGTCCGGGACTGTTTTAAACTATAATTTAGGAGGCCTCCTTTCTGTCTCAGTACTCAAACTCCTTTAGAGCTCGCTACTTGTTCCTCTTCCGTGTGTGTGCCACTCGGTTCTCTCATTACGAAGTGCTGATGAGTCCTCTCCAGGGTTACACTGGGTGCTTTTCAGTCGTCAGCATTCCGTTTTTTTTTTTTCTTGTTTCTGGACATTTGTTGTTTGAAAAAGTTGGCAGCTGTTTGTGGACAGAATTCTGAGTACCCAGTAGAACTCAGCTTCGGCAACCAGATGTGTGGATCTGTTAGGAAAATCCCCAGTGTGGAGTAATCCTTCTTTTCTGCATTTTATGGGTCGAGCCTAAATTAGAAGACCCAGGGTTACAAAGGCCTGTCTGTTCAGTAAAGAAGAATTGACCTCTCTTTTCTGCACTGTCTCCTTTCAGGATTTCAACGATGAGTTTTCAGATCTGGACGGAGTTGTTGGACAGAGAAGGCAAGATATGGAAGGATACAGCAGCTCTGGCTCCCAGACTCCTGAATCTGAGAACTCCCGAGGTCTGGGCAATGTTTGTACCTTGACTACAGTTTGATTCTCACACAACGCCTCCATCCACCCCTTATAAACAAAAACTTATCTTGTGTTCCTAGTTGAGTTGAAGCAAATCTGGAAAATGGGTAACCTGAAAGCTCAAGAAAAGGAATTGCCTATATAGTAAAAACTCATTTGCTTGTAGACATTTAGCAAATGTCTCTTCAACAGACACAGTATTAGGGTGATTGAGGGAGATCAACATGTAGTATTTTCTTCCCTCTTATTTCAGTAACAGTATTAGTTACTGTAGCTGAGCCAGGCATGGTGGCACACACCTGTAATCCCAGCATTTGGGAGGCTGAGGCAGGAGGATCAGCATTTGGGAGGCTGAGGCAGGGAGGCTGAGGCTGAGTTTGAGGCCACCCTGCACTATAAAGTGAGTTCAAGGCCAGCCTGAACTGCATAGTGAAACTTGGTCTCAAAAAGGGGAGAAAAAAACATAGCTGAATACTTATGTGTTGGTGGGGTATCCTTATGTCATTACTTATTTGCTTGAGATTGGATTTCAGTTCCCAGCCACCTTGACCAACTGATGAGAAGATCCATTGATTTATTTGGTCATTATGCAGATTAAAGGATTGATTTGTATTGTGGTCAATCTTAATGTGTTTCAATGCAATGGGGAGAAAACTGACCTAGCCCCTCTGGCTTGTAGATTTCCATGTGACAGAATCCCAGACTGTTCTGAACGTCTCCAAGGCAGAAGGGAAACCTGCTCGGGCTGATGCCCATGTGAACCGAGGGTCTGAAGGGAAAGCCAGGAGTCTCCCTGCACATGGTGAGAACAGAATATTGTTTTAAGAGGAAGGAATTTCTGCTTGTGACTTTTAAGGTATCTCAATACCTTAAAATACGACTGCCTTTCGTATTTCCTTCCCTTTGAAGGTCTTTGCGTGTTAGCTCTCATGTATTCATTAAACAAGGAGTATCAGTCTGATGCGTTACTAGGGGAGATACACAGGAGAATTAACCTTTGTGGGGGTCGCTTCATTCTTCTGAATACTTTGAGATTATGATCTAAAAATTGGTGACAAAACTCAAATACTGAATTATTTCTTAATCAACTAATTATTCTAGTAACTAGTTACAAGTTAGACTAGCATAAAAGCAGAGATGGTGATAATATCACTCCGCTGACTCCAACTCAATATTTGATGTAGAAAAGACTTGCAGGAAATATGTATCTAGTAAATTGTGTTGGGAAGAATTGAAACTACTGGGTAAAATAACAACTGGACAGCTTCAGTTAATATTTCCTCTACCTTCTTTTACCTGAGAGTGGTTACCTGTTTCAGGTACCTGCCTGCTGGGATATTGCTAGATGAAGGACGTGTGCTGTGGTGTTAAACTGTTGCTTTTCCCAACAGGTCTGTCAGAAACAGTTGGAATCTTGCATAAAGTCAAGTCTCAGAAATGTCTGACTCTCCACCATATCCTTGTATTCTATGCAGTTGTGTAAGTAAATATATTCACTATGCATGACTTGCACAAGTGATTCGGTTCTCTGAAGGGATACCTTTCCAGGTTGCCGTGAGCCCTTGTAAATCTCAAATGTTTCTGATGTGACTCAGCTATAATCTTTGACAGTTTGTTTTCTACTTTGATTTTTTTCTATAGATACAGGTCATTTTTTATAATAATTATGCCGCATCCCTCAGAGGACTAAGTTCTGAGTGGATATTATTAGTTGGGAAATTGTTCTGTAAATTATGGTTGTTTTTGTTTTTGTTTTCATGCAGGGTCTTAAAGTAATTCAGCTGGCCTTGAATTCACTATGTAGCCCAGGCTGGCCTTGAACTTGCAGTGATCCTCCTGCCTCAGCTTCCTGAGTGCTGGGATTACAGGAGTGCGCTGCCACACCTGGCTGTTCTGTTTTCCACATTTTCCGTCTCTTTGTTGTCCCAACCAGAGAGACCAAGATGTCTTCAGACTGTCATCCCGCTTTCCTGAAAACTGGGCACTGGCTGCTTTTACCTTCCCATTACCTCCCAGTCTGTATCCAGTTGCTCTTCTGAAAAGACCTGGCCGCATTCTAGGCTTTTCTCCCACAGAGCGGGACACACCTGGTCTAGTTTCCAGAAAGAGCAAGGAATTTGTGAGTCAGCAGAGGATGAGGCTGGACCCTCTCTGCCCAGGCTCCTCTATCGGGGCCAGACCAGCAGGAAAAAAGAGCCTGGCCTAGAATCCAACCTGGGTCTAGCCTAGGTCCATCCTATTACAATGGCTGTTCTTTGTGAATTGAGGGACTTAGGCTACAGGACATTAAGTCTTTTGGCTGGAAAGTTTTATGACAAGCATCAGACTATTTTTCAAAAAGATCTTTTAAGACTCTGTCTTGCCAAGTTATTTTGGAAAATGCCTCAAACATGAATGACACTGGCTCTGAGTTTATTGTGTTTTGAACATCAGATCTTGGCCGTGAACCCGTTGACAGTTTCTCTCTGTCCCTTTCCAGGGTCTGTGCATTAATCATTTCGACCTTCTACATGAGGTACAGAATCAACACTCTGGAGGAGCGGCTGGGCTCACTGACGTCCATCGTGGAGACCCACAGTGCTGAGTAAGACAGTTCCTACCATGCTGTCACCTGTCGCTCAGATCAGTGTAATAATTGACCCGAGCTTAGCGGACATTGAGAATATAGTACACTTGGTACGAAACTTCTGGTTAGGTGTATATGTAGAAAGTAAAGAGGTTCCTAGAAAGGAATGACCCCACCCTCTGCTACAGTGTCCCCAGAAGGAAGGCAGGAAACATAGCTAATTGTACATTACCTTGCTGTACCACCCTAAGGTGCAGTTGTGACGTTGGCTGATTTTATTGAGCTATATAAATTTATCTTTATAAAAATGGCAATGAATAGGTTGATTCATAGAAAAGAAGCAATTCAGTGAGTTCAGCACAGTTCATCATATATAACTCTCTATACTAACTTACTTGCAAAACTTTAGTAAAACTTTTGTACGAGCTTCATGTAACAAGTAACTCATTAACCATGTCTGTGAAGATTTTTATGAGTCACTTTTTTAACAAGCCTGACATAATTAAATCTATTCAGACATAATACGTTCTCCTTTAAGCCCATTTACATACTGACTAAAAAATAAAATAAAATCATTATCTCATTTTAGCATTATCTCATTCTAGCTCCTTTTAACACCTATATGGAATACCTACGTTTGCTAGAGTCTCTATCACAATGGATACATACGTGTGCAAATAACAACACTTTTCCTTCATTATAGTTTTATCATTCCCTTATAACAGTAGTTATTCCCATTTACAAATGAAGAAACAGACTCAGAAGTAAACTGGAGGACTGGGGATATAGCTCAATGGCGCAGTGCCTGCCTGGCAAGTGCAAAATCCTGAGTTTGATTCTCGGTACAAAAAAACGAAATAATTAATCTGGGCATAGTGACATATGCCTGTAATCCCAGCACTCAGGAGGCTGAAGCAGGAGAATCACTACAAGTTTGAGGCCAGCCTGCCTGAACTACATAGCTAAAAAAAAGAGCAATTAGCTTAATGTCTCACAATTTGTAGTAAAACAAAGGTTCACATATGGTCTCTATAACTGCAAAGACCATGAGTTTCCCAGTCTATCAGCAGCTCTCAAGACTTAGTTTGCATCAGAATCAACTGGAGGCCATGTTAAATAGACTGCTGGACCCATCCCTGAATTTCTGATGGGTAGGGGTGTTCCCAGGTGTTCTGATGTGCTGCTCAGGGGTCTGCACTCTGAGAACCACTGATTGACACCGTTCTAGGGCTTTTTTTACTTTCTGCCTAAATTACCTAAAGCCCTTATTCCGTAGCCTCCATGTATGCTGGCATACAGGTGAATTTTGAACCAGAAGTATACATTTGAAACAGATAAAATCTAAAAACCTAGCAAAAATTTGAAGCAGATTTATACCCTGGCCTCACTGTCCCGTCTTCTTCAAATGTTGATGCAATTATAGCGGAGAGGTGAGTGCAGATTGTTAGTTCACTATCACATAAGGAGGTGGTTTTTTAAAAACATACCTCATATCACATTACAGCATAATTTACTTGGTGGTGGTGAGAGGGAAATTCCAATGACAAATGGAATATTTATTCTACTGTGGGAGCAGTCAGCCCAGGAGGAAGTACAGTCTGAAGAAGAACACTGTACAGAAGTCGTGAAGATCACATATGTCGTGAGGTCCGAGAACACCATGAAGGGAAGGTCTACTGCTAAGGCGCTGTTCCAGGGTCTGAGCGTCCCAGGTCCTTTGTCCAGAGTGAGTCACCTGGCCATCTAGCAGCTCAGTGCACACATGTAGTCTGATTCATTTGCTAGAACCATCCTTTGAAGCCGTGCATACAACCAGCCTTGTTAACACCTTAATAGATTGCAAGCTGTTCAGTGGATGCTGCTTCTCAGATTCCTAGTCCAGGGATAAGAACATAGCTGCTCCTCAGAATCTCACGGTGATAAGTTAGTCCCCTGGATCTCACAGCCCTCATCTAGAAAACAAGGGTTTCGATTGTGTTTCCATGAATCAACGATAAAAAGCACACTGTTTATTTCAATACCAGCAAATAGACATCTTTCTTAAAATTTAGATAATCACTAATAATTGACTAATGTGTCTCTCTCACAAGTGGACCCTATAAGAAATAGACCAGACACTGCCATCAAAATCTTCAGCAGCTAAAAGGAAATCACAACCAGGAAATGTAGACAGTGCCGACCATGGTACTTAACCCTGTCATGAAAATGCTGCAGACTGTTTCTCCAGGAAGTGCACTTACTGTATTCTCTAGATTCTCCAGGGTCAGCTTGTACAGGACCCTTGAGTAGAGGCCCATGCCTAAACAATCAAATGGCAAATGCTGGCTGTATCTATTGGTTTATAAGATAAGGGAAATTATATTTATACGGTAAGTCTCAAGGAAGGAACAAATCTCATACTTCAGTGGAAATGTGATTAAATAGATAAAGGTGTTCCTAACTTTGTGAAAGTTCTAACATAAAAAGGTCCTTCCTCCCCTTAAAAAAAATCTGCACAGGACTGAAAAGAGCAATAATTCTTCCAAATGCCTTTTGTGCTAGCAATAGAGTGGATGATGGGAGTTGATAAAAGGAGTCTAAGAAACCACATGCCCGAGAGTAATTGTCTGACTTTTATTTTGAAGCCAAGCCACAATTTGTCCACTTGAACAGAAATGGCTTAAGAGTTTTCCAGCTGAGCTTTTCAGAATGAACCCCCTCAACATCGAGTCTGGAATCAGAGATGACTACGGGGCCTTTCTGTTGTTGACAAGTGAAGTGCTCACTTCTATTACAGACACCCTGGTTCTCTGTTCAGATTCAAAATGTGCTTATTCCACTTCTTGCATTGCCATCCTACCCATAGGCATTTCCTTTTTGCTCTTACAGACAGACAACACCATCTGGCCTGAGATCACAAGTGCAATTAAATGTGGAGGTCCTCTGCCAAGAGCTCACGGCGAACATAGTAAAATTAGAAAAGGTAACTTGCTCCATTCCTGTGGGTGAGGGCAGTCATGCCACTTCCTGTGGATTGCTGTAGGCCAGCGGTGACTCACTCATAATACTTTCTGTCTGCAGCCACCAACCTACGTGACCAAATGACCAAACCTGGCGAGGCGGGGAGGAGGTGTGCATAGTAAATGTGAAAAAATATTTTTATTTCCATGAAGAAATGAGTTTGAATCCCATTTTCCTTATAATTCATGGTCCTGGTGGTCTGGCTTTTGTGTTTCCTCCTGGGTGGACATGTTTCTGTGTACCGTAGAGAGCAGTGATGAGCACCTGCTGACACCAGGGCTCTGTGGAGGGACACAGTAGAGCATGAAAGGGGGTCCAGTGGCCCAGCTGGACACACAATTCTGACTCCACCTGGGCCAGTTCATACCATACATAAAACCCTGCGTTCAGTCTCCATACAACTGGGAGATGGGTGTCATTGTTCCTACCTGATAGGGAAAGAATAGTCTCCAGTTACTTCGCTAAGGTGACACACCTAGAAAGTTGACTGGAGTGGGGTCCTGGAAATTGAACCAGGTCTGTCTGACTGCAAAGTTGTGCCTGAAAGCCCTCTGCTTGGATGTAGGAGCATGGCGTGCTTAGCACACAGAAGCCCTGGGTTCAGTCTTCAGCTTGAAAAGACAGACGAGACAGACAGATCAGCTCCTGTTTTACTGAATTCAGCGTTAGATCTTGCAGATAAGACCACTGGTGTAACTCTACCTCTAAAAGTCTCTTCCTAGGGCAGATCTCTTCTTAGCCTGTGATGTTCTTAGAAGGTGATAGGATGAACAAGGGGAAGAAGATAGGCATGTAAGAAAGATCCCAAAATGAGACCTAATTAACAGGCCTTATTTTCTCTTTTCCACATTTCTCCCTTCCGCCTGATAACTACTTGCTTTTTACCCTAATCCCGAAGGAAACGTGTGACTAATCAAGTATTTGATCAAAACTGTATCACAAGTGCCCAGTATTTTGGTAGCTTTAGACAACAGTACTGTTATGAAAAGAAATACGAAACACAAATGAACAGAATTATCTCTCTTGTCCTGCACTAAACGTTACCTCTTTTTTAACAACTAAGTTGACAACAAAGACATTGCAAACTGCTCTTCTAAGCCAGGTCAGGATAGATAATTCATATTGATCTATGGGCAAACATGGAAACTTTTCTCTAAAATCCAAAATCAATATAAAGAAGTTATGAGTTAGCTACCTAAATTATTTTTTCTTTCTAAAACATTAGACTTTGAGAATTGCAGATTTTTTTTAAACAAATGCTTGCTAATGTTGCCTTTCCTTCTGTGCTAAAAAAACAGGGTGGCATCGTTTTCAGCCTGTTCACTGTGACACGCAAATGATACTCCTCAGATCAGAAACACACAGAATCTTACTGCCTGCTGTGTTCCCACTGTCCTGCTAGGCCTGGCCAGGATATGGCATTTTATAAATGGGAAAAGGACTGATGCACAGCAGGTCCACAGCTGGCCATCTCATGCGGGGAATCAGACCAAGCCCAGCTGGAGAGCTAGCGAGGAGTTCAGTGATACCAATGGAGATAACGTTTGTCCCAAAGCAGAATCAGTAGAAAGTGGTGCGAGGTCAAAATGTGCAGGTTGATACAGAGATGTCTCAGAGGAATCTAAATATGAAAAAGAATAGCCAGGCCACACCCCAGCTCTTTGACATCTGCCCCTTCCACAGAGGCAGTCAGCAGTTACACAACACAGCTTGGGCATGAGATAGCTGCATGCTGGGGAGAAGTCGGAGGCACTGGTGGCTCTTTTTTTTCTGTTTTCTTCAGGGCCTGGTCATGATCTGTTTCGGTTATAACTTCCATTTCTAGCCATAGTATCCCTGCCCTGGCAGTAATCCTCACTGAAAGCCTATGAGTAATTTCTGCCTCCTTCCCACTTTCACTAACTGATTGACTAATTTGTTGCCAAAAAAAATCCTGTGACATCTGCCCTCAAATGTCTTCTGAAATTCTTTTACCATTGACACCATTTTGAGCCATTCAGCGTCCTGATAACCAGTCTGTAATAGGAAGTTAAATCTCTATGGATTTTCTTTGTAATTGCTACTGAAATTTAAATCTACTGAAATTAAAGTTTAAGCTCTTTGGGTTTTCTTCTGTAAACTTACCTTCCTTGTTTTACTTTGGGGTTTTTTGGTCTTTTTTTTAAGTGGGTTTTAATGTATTTTTTGAGTGTCCGTCTCTTGTTCCTTTTCTGCCTCCCCAGTCCTGTCTTACTGGTGGCCCTGAGGTACAGGTGAAGAAGCTTTGAAGCAGAACTGTGGGGAAGGGGGCAATGCTTGCTGTGAATAAAGAAGTAAATAATTACTTTCTAAGCACTGGAAGTGGTGCTGATGATGAGGTGGTAGAGAAACAGCATACATTCTGAGTCATACTTCTTACTCCTACCCTTCCTCGTCCTACCTGTGTAACTCAATGCTTGGTAGCCTCTGTGGCCCTCAGTTTCGTGTGGAGGACCTGCCTTTGGGTGGTGTTGTGTGGTTAAGGTGAGAATTCCTGGCACATACGTAGTAGAGCCCCTTCTCTTTGCTTGCCATGAGTGTGCCTATAGGACATCTCTCTACAAACGATGTCTTGGCCATTTTCCATTGTGACAATTGAACCACAGACTGATTTATAGAGAGAAGGTTTCTTTAGCTTACATTTCTAGAGGCTGGAGGGTCCAAGGTTGAGGGGGCGTGTCTAGTGAAGGCCCTCTGACCAATGAGGACTGCAGAGTCCTGAGGCGTCACATGGTGAGAGAGGGCAGGCTTGCTCACGTAGGTATCTCTCCTCTTCTGATAAAGGTACAAGTGGGGTCATGGGTTAAGGCTCCAGTTCAGAATGCCATTGATATATGATAGGATTAAATTTCAATATGAATTAGTCATAGTAGAATATATTCTTTTAATTCCTGGGGTTCTCTGCTCCCATCATCATTTTGATTATTAGTATTTCCTTGTTCTCAGTTCTTTACAACTCATTGCTTCAGCAAACACTTAGCTGAAAGAATTTTTAATTCCCCACACTGGACTGTAGTCTTTAGGTCCAAACGTATGACATGGTTGATCCTTCTACCCGTGAAATTCATTATTTTCTTGGGATTATTGGATGGTAATCAACGTGGTACCCCATTTTTCTAACTAAAGCCATCAAGTGGGTTCTGTACAAGCCCAAGTTTCTGTCATCTCTCATTGCATCTGGGTTCCACCTGGCGCTGCCATTGCGTGTTTTTTCTCTTCCATCTCATTTCTCTGTCTTTACCAACATTTTCATCTTTGTCCCACTCTTTTTTTATCTCCATCTTTTTTCATCTCAAAGTAGATTGTCAGACTTCTAATCCTTAAAAACGTGCCTTTGCCTGATCTAAGCTTAACCTTTGAATAGCTTTTTTTTCCAAGATAGGTTAGTCTCAAGCATATAAGGCTGCTGAAAATATGCCTTAAAATATGCCATTCTGAGGGGCTGGGGATTTAGCTCAGCGGCAAAGCACCTATCTGGCAAGTGCAAGGTCGTGAGTTCGGTTCCCGGTACAGGAGAAAAACCAAAAAAAAAAAACAAAATATGCCATTCTGTTTACTAACAGAAGCTTCTCTTTTATCATTTCAAGATACAAAACAACTTACAGAAGCTCCTAGAGAATGGTGACTGATGACCAGATTGCTGGCGCCAACTAATACCTCACATTTCTTGGAAGAAGGTGCTCCCGAGGCCTTCCTGGTAAGCGCTCCCTGCTGGCCAGAGGCGTGAATGGATGAGAACCCAGACATGGTTGCACTCAGAGGTCTCCAGCTCAGGAAAAGGGGAAGGGGAATCACTTCGCTTCTTGTGCAATAAAAGTTGACCTTGTCTCTCTGAGGAAGTTTTTGCTGCTACTGCCTGAACAAAACAGACCCATCTCTGGAGGTCTCAGAGCAGGCCCAGCACATATTCTGGAATGATGGTGGCTCAGCAGTTTCTGTGATTGTGTCCGTAAACACTCCACTCCAGGCCTGCTCAGGGCTTCCCACCCTCTTTTTCACTTACTTATATCCTAACGCAGATCGCTGAAACTAAGGGGTACATCATGTCCCACTGGCCTTACCTTTAAAGAATTAGCCATGAATCTCTGAAAAGGCAGTAAATGTCTCTGAATGGACAGACTTGCTACAGACAAATAACATTCTGCTGTTCCTTTCGGCTGTTATCTTCTGTTTAAATCATATATCTGTGTATCTTAAGTTCTCTGTTCAGTTGTAATGAGTATGTCAAGCAAAGTGAAATAACGATTCTGTTTTTGTTCCGTTCTGTTTTGTTTTGTTCCTGTGACTAATATGTAATTGGAGTGATTCTCACCCACCTCAGGTCGAGAATCTGTGAGGCAGAAGACTGAAATACTAAGTTAAACTTACTATGAAACCAAAACTAATCTTTAAACCAAAAGTTGTAATAGTGATTTAATAAAGGATGCAGAACACTGAATTGTTAAGATTATAGGTGGACTATTGTAGCCATTTTGAAACAGGATATCTGAATTGGATGCTGAAAGTTATTTCAGCAGGACAGCTGTATGTCTTTGTCCTTCGATGACTAAAATAAATAACTGGTGGTTTGCTAACTATTCACCTTGTGGTTTGGGTGGGTTTTATTAATAATTATATAAGGTACCATAAGATCTGTAAATATAAAGTATATTCTATTTCTATCTGTAATGCATTTTGTAATCATTTCTATGAAATGTGTTTTGTTTAATCAGATAAGCTAGTAAATGAATTGGTTACATCATTTGTATGTGTTAGCCTACTGGACAATAGCTGTGTCTGGTACACCACCAGCTTTTAATAAATACTCAGTGGTTGAAGCACCCTGCTAACACTGTGTTTTCTCAGATTGTAAATCTTTTAACTAAGACTTACTGTGTTTTTTAATGCCTTCCCCACCACCCTTCCACTGCTCCCAGCTTCATACTTCTTTCTTCCCAAATATTTATTTAAAAACTCAAAAATTATTTAAGTTCTTAGGTTACAATAGTATGAGAAAGAAAATTAACTTTGTAATCAGAAACCCAGTGCTTAATTTCTAGGTTCACTTCCACATTTAATGAGTTGTGGGACAGCAGGCAAGTTCTTTGGCCATTTACTGCCCATTTTGCTAATGAAGCCAGCGCTGAAAGTACCAATGAAAAGTATCATTGTGAGGATTAAATATGACAATGCAACTAAAGCACATAGTTTGTTGGATATACCAGGTACCATAGTCATTATTTTAAAAAATATTTGAGTGCTTTAAATTCAGAGTCAGAGTGGGTCAGTTACCTATGCAGAATAATTTAGTAATTATGTGAAAAGTATTAAAAAGTTCAAATTTCACAATGGATGATCTGCCAGCTAGGAATTTAGAACTCCAAAGGGATTGGGTGGCTCTATGCCTACAGCACTTCCAGTGGTTGTAACTCCCACAGCTTCTCTCTTGGGTTGGCTCTGCTCTGTCCTTGTAGTTTTCCTCAGATGATCCACGTTCCTGCTTCCCCAAAATTCTGGGGTCTCCACTATACTTTTGGCTTCACACTCACAGCTTCATACACAACCCTCTCAAGGGCACACTGCCTGGCCTCCAGGGCCACCTTCTGATTTCTGTGTGGAAGCCTTCCTGACCCCACAACTCCTCCATTCTGCATACACCTAAAACTAGATGATGCTAAGGTCTGCCATCAACTGGAGCAGAAGCTATGCTTCCCACTCTCTTGGGTGTAGGGGTCGAGTACCTGGGTCACTGAGCACTCTGAATCCAATTCTGAGGAACAAATTCTTTAGGCCACTGCCATTCTAGGACATGGTGCTCTGGGCCTTTCTCCTCAAAGCAAAGTCTTTCACTTTTGCAGTTTTGAGGCTGCAAAGGGTGGAGACTTGCTGCTTCTTGTGATACCCTCAGGCCATCTTTTCTATTCTCCTGTTCCTTCTCTGCAATCCAGATCTCAGCTCTGTCTTCGTAGTCCACAGCTTTACTGGAGCTTCCTTTCTGACAAACTCATAACATTTTAAATCATTTTGCTGGCCTCTTTGCTCTTGATTCTCAATGTAAATCTGGCTAAAAGCCCCCAACAGTAGCCATGCCACTGCCTCAACATTCTACTGCCTTGAAATCTCTTCTGCCAGATTAATTAGTCAGTCACCCTTAATCTTACTCTCATGCAAAGTCTCTGGGCATCAGCAAAACGCAGACAAGCTTCTTTCCATCTGTTAATGGTGTATCCAGTCTACCAGGATTAGGACAATGCCAGTGCAGTCAGTGGACTGATTCAGCAATGACCCATTCTTAATCCCAGCATCACATCACCAGTCAACCACGTACTCTAGATTCAGCCACCTCCAAAAAGTGCTGTCACCTCATGAGGCTGTGGTAAGACATCTAGACACAAGCTGTAACAGAACCAGATCTCACAACTGCCACCACAACAACACAGCTGACAGTTTTTCACCTGGAACTTCACTTCCAACAAGCATGCAATGGCCTTGTCCTAAGTAAGAGAACCCTAGGTTATTTACTCTTTTTTCATTGGGAATGCTATTGGGTGTTCTGTTTGTCATTATTAGCTGTCAGGTCAGAATCTAGTGAGAGCTGGTCTAAATAGTGTAGCCCAGGTCATTGGCTTGCATACTACAAAGCTTGGGAAAGCAAGCATCCCGGGTATTTAGCCTCTGCCACTTAAGTATAAATGTAAGGCACTCTCCTAACATAGGAGAAAAAAATTAAATGTCTGCTTAAAAGCTTGGAAAGAAAGAAATCAGAATCAATTCAGGAAGAAAAAACTAAAAAGAGATGATCAGTTGTAATGCTGTTTACATGCATTCCAATACTTTAAAGTTTGATTAAACATTCTAATTACTATCAATGTCAAATATTCCACACACTGAAAGTGCTTTATCATTGACCTCTCAAGCTTTGTGGATATTTAAAGTACCGTCCTACATAGCCTCTACTATGCTCTTAAGACATTTCACAGATACTCATTTATGTGATTTTTAAAAATACTTTCACTTTTTTCATAGTACTGGGGATTGAACCCAGCCCTTCACACTGAGAAAATCTCCAGGCTGCGTGTGTGTGTGTGTGTGTG